AAACAACGAAAGTGAATTAAGTAATATTATGAAAATTAAAATAGCAAGTATAAAGAAGTACATTGGTTCAATGGATGTATATTTAAAGAAATAGAGGCAATAAAAAACAAAAGAAAAAGAAGAAATTTTGGTTACTAGAAGTGTTATTTTGCTTAAACGATATTAGATTATAATCATATAACAAAAGGAGGTATATAACGATAGACGAATTTTTACATACAAAACTTTATAATAACAGCCTTAAAAGTACTAAATCCACAAATATAATGTATATCTCGCAATTATTTGATGAAAATAATAAACTTATATCATGGAAACAGATAATTACTGAAGCAGATACTAGAAGTAGTAAAGGCGGTGTACCTAATTGATTTAAAGAAATAGAGGAAATAATGTTGAAAGACGTGAGCAAAAGGGAAGTGTTTGGGATATATGAAATTTGTGAAGAGAAGTATAAATAATTAGATGGCTTTTATATAAAAAATACAAGTCGGAAATTATTTGATTAAAAATTTAACGAAACGGAGAAAAACGATCTTATATTTATTATTAAATATTTCCATCCTTTTATCTATTACTGTATTAATAGAAGATGAAAATTTTAAAATGAATGTTTTAGAGATATTTTAGAGTCTAATTCAATAGATGAGTTCAATAATTTTATTATACGAACGCATCAATTAAAGTAATAATAGAGGAATTGGTTGGGTTAGAATGGATAAGAAAGGAAAAATTTTAAAAAAAATTTAACGTCAAAATTACGAATAGTATGAACGTCACAGAACTTGAAATACTAGCTGTAATAACAGTCCTAATTAGCATTCCAGAAAATAGTAAGATTATTAAAACAGATAATAGTTCAGTAGTTAATATACCGTATATAGCGGGCCACAGTACCCCGGGTATCTTGCAAAAATCGGGGGTTTGACCCTGTACCCCCGGGTACTAAACAAAGCCTAAAAATTCCGTTTTTTGCGAATATCTCACGATCTACCGGTCCAATTTGAACGATCTTTTTTTTATTTTGAAGAGCTCAATGAGAGCTATCAAACAAAAAAAGATGGCTAAATCTGATCACTGGATCACGAGATAATTGTAAAATATCCCCCGGGTACTATACAATTCTATGAAATTTTTCAAGGGGGGTACTATGCATAGGGGGGGTACTATGGCCTGCGATATACGGTATATAACTAATTGAAAAAAACAGTGAAACATGAAAAACAAAAAGAATATGAAATGTTAATAACATACAAATGTAGAAATGGATTAAAGATTTTATATTAAATAACAGGATTTTATTATCAATTGAAAAAGTACAGTCTCATAATAAGATAAAAGAAAATGAAATAGCATAGTATATTAGAAAATAATACGTGGGAATATAATATGTTCTGGAAAGGAAAAATTATTAGAGAAAACATAAAGAATGCAATTAAAAAATTAAATCAGTGTAAATACAAGGCTGAGTTAATTCCGCTAGATTTTTTTGAACGTATACAGAACCAAAATTAATGATGTTAAAGTAGATTGGGATACTACTTTTGAACGAATTTAACAAAGTAGATCATGATTTAAAAGATGATAAATTCACAGTATATAAAATTAAGAATTTTCTAGAAGGATTACCGACGTTAGAACAGCTTCATATACAGTAAGATACCCAAATATATTTGAGAACAAAATATATGTGAGATGTTTTAAAGCACACGAGAAGGTATTTAAAAAAAATGGTATAGAAATTTAATTTTATGTAGCTATCTATATCGAAAATATATTGAAAATATGTTATAGAAATTAATTTATATAGCTGTCATATATAAAATATGTTGAACATATAGTAATAATGAAAAAAAGTTAATATAATAATTATACTGTTGCGTTGCAACAGGATTAGATTTTTTGTCATAGTGATAATGTTTATATTTCCTGGATGATTACGTATATTTACAGAAATATAGTGCATAATATATGAAAAGAGAAACATTATAATGAATTTATTTACTTATTAAATATTCTTATATTTATTCGCAGCACAAATCCCCAAAGCTAAAAGACATAATAAATTGCAATTATATATATAAAAATAAAAAAAAAATTATATATAAAATATTAATATAGATTGTAAAGAAAAAATATAAAAAAAATTCAGCTTTTTTTTTTTAAAAAAAAAAGAAAGAAAAAAAAAGAAGAAAAAATTGCGATACGGTTTGCTGCGGCCGTTCACACTGTACGAGATAGCCGAAAATGAAATAATTATGATTTTCTCAATTTCTTTTGGATTAATAATTTTTGATTGAATGGATACGAAAAATATATTCAGGTTGGTCGGATCAATTGAATAGAGAAAATATTAAAGACATTAAAAAAAAATTTTTTTCACTATAATGTAATTTGCGCATTCCATTTATATGTATTTAATTCAAGTGAAAATAATTTTTTAGACTAAAATTTAATAATTTGTGTTTTTTTTTTATTACAACTGTTTTCATAAATCCGAGGGTGTGGGACACGCGATATAAACTAAATAAATTATGCAAACAAGTATTTATAAAATTGAATGTGGAATTTCGCTTGAACACGTCTAATTTGTCTTACTTGTTTAGATTGTAAAAATAAATATGATCAAAATTGTACATTTGTACTTGCCAAGTAAGAAAAGTAGAATGGAAGAGGAAAATATTGAACGTGATTATATACTAGTAGATTTAACTCACAAACTTTTTACACAAAAGGATGCTACAGAACAGAAAATTGCATTAATATAACGGCCAACCATACCTCCATTTCAGATTTGTAATTCCCACAAGTACCAATCAACTTTTTCTTTCAAAAGACTTTCTAATTATTTATATCATTATTTGTAAGAATTCTCCCTTTTTCTCTTTTATAAAATTATTACATACACATATACATATTTCATCGAAAATTTTTTCTAGTTCAAATTCATTACTGCCAAATGCCAATTTAATAAGGCCATAAACAATTCCACCAAACAAAATTATAACGATAATTCCAGCAATCATAGCAACCATTATTCTACACTTTCTATTAGCGAGAAAAGTTTAAGTTTAATTGATGGCGATGGATGTTGATGTCGATATGGTGATGTGTAAATTATAACCATCAGTTGAAGAATTTGTACTACTGGTTGTTTTTCAATTATATTTTAATATTTACGTTGCGTAATATTTTTTTTATCGATATTATTAGCGTTAAATATTGGTACTGATAGTGTGTTGTTGCTGTTGCTGATGAATATTAATGTACTTGTTCAATAATTTTTCTGGAAGAAATTTGATTCTTTTTTAATTTAAATCTTATAAATAAAATGGTATAATAAAATTACTTGTACTAGTAGTTAACAATAAATTTGTTCAATTTGCAAATATATCAAAATGAGTATATTTATCAAAATCTTATTACCCGTAATGACGTAAATCTTTTTATTGTTAGCGTAAAAAATACTTCATATATTTTCAAAGAGTTGTTAATAAAATCGCGAAACATAAATTTTCTATTTAAAATAAAAAATTTTTAATCTTCTACTACTATGTATGAAAGGGAAATAAAATTATGCATGTTTATTTATCAGACACATGAACTCTTTATTTAAACATAACTCATATTCCTGTTCAGATCCGTGCATCTACTTCAATTTTTTCGTAGATAATGATGTTGGATTGGTTTTGATATATAGTATAATAAACTCAATGGGTAATAGAATCAACGTGTGTGCGCGTACGTACTACAACATTTATTCTCTGTTATCGATATCATAATTATCATAATTTATAAATGTTAAAGCATTGTTTGGATTTATTTAATTATATAAATTTATATATAATATTGTAACTAAATGAAATAAGGTATAATACAAAAAAAGAATTATATAAATTACAAACTAAGACATACATGATGATGCTGATTTACCTACTCTAATCTTAGTGTTTAAATAATTCAAAAAAAAAAAAAAAAAAAAAAAAAAAAAAAAAAAAAAANAAAAAAAAAAAAAAATGCAAAAAATTCAAATTTCTATAAAGAATATAGAAAATTTAGTAATCTAAAATCAAGTAAATTCAAAATATTAAAAAACAATAAAAATAAAAATGAAAAGAGCAATACTTTACCATCGGGAATCTCTAATTCATCTTGTTCTTCTGAATGAAGGTTTGGATCGTTATGTATTTCCTTTTCATCTATAAGACAAAAAAAAATTAGAAATTAAAACTATAGCATAATTTTATACAATAATAATTTAGTTACATTACATACCATCAATATCATCATATTTCTTTACTCGCAATTGCATTGTTTCCATCTTATAATTGCTTTGAGTATCTAAACATAAAATTAATATAAGTATTATAATAATTAAATTAATTTACTATTAATAGTTGTTTTACTTGCCATCTTTTGTATTTATTTGTAGATCATTAAGTGCTTTGGATAAGTCTTCACTACCTAAAAGTTATTATATTAATATTTAAGTTATTTCAAGAAAAAATTATCCATAAAAATTACCTTTAAGAGTATCATTTTCCCGGTTAATTGATTTATTAAAATCATCAACTAAAAGAAAAAATTAATTAATTACAACAATTAATAAATACTTGTTACAAAATATTTTACAAATACTTACTGTTATCGGGAATATTAAAATTATCATATGATTTGCTGTGAAATGCTACAAAATTGAAGATATTGAATATTAGTAAAATTATCAATAATAAAATAAATTATTATTTACCAATACCTTCTTGTTCTTCTATTAATAAAAAATATATAATGATCAATGTTAATATACATTATATTAAATTAAACAAAAATATTGAATAATTAATAATTATATAAATATGTTAAATGTGTTTAATACCTTCTGTTGCATTTCTTGGTTTAGGAAAGTTTTCAAATCGATTAACTTTACTTGTAAATAATCTGCTACTTGTATAATCTGTTTCAAAGCAACTTGTTCTATTTATTTCTAAATTATCATTTACTTCTGACATGACTATTGTAGTATTTAGATAATATAAATTAATTTCTCTTAATTTTTTCACAAGTGTATAAGCATCGGGTCTCTTTAATGGATCAGCATCCCAACATTGTTTCATTAAACTTTCATATTCTAAAGGAGTTCCTGATACTATTCTTGGTCTTATACCATTAATGATATTCATTGCAAGATCATAATCATATTCATAATTAATAAATGGTGGTTGTCCAGATGAAATTTCCCACATAAGCATTGCAATACTATAAATATCAGATTCTTTTGTAGTTTGTTTTCCAGAAATAACCTCAGGTGCTATATAAGGAAGATTTCCATATATGCTGTTTAATGGTTTATCTGCAGGGCCACAGAATCCAAGATCACTAATACACCATCTCTGATTCATTTTTGAAAATAATACATTTCCTGAATGCAAATCTCTATGAACTGCATTTTCCATTTGGATAATATAAATTGCATTAACTATATATACAGCAATTTGTACTTTTTCATTCCAGGTAAGTTTGTTATGATTTTGTTGTAAATATTTTCTTAAATCTATATCCCCTTTAAGCATTACGAGATAAAAATTACCATTTGATGGATCTTGTGTTAAACCATAACATTGAATAATATTTGACCATTTATTGCTTATAGTTAAATGTGATTTAGCCTATAATAATCAATTTTTAATAAAAAACTTTAAAAACTTTAATAAATTGCTTTTAATTACAAACCTCTTCAAACCATCTTTGATTTGCATATTCAACATTTTCTAATTTTTTGAGTATTACATTATGTCTTCCAAATCTTTCTAGTTGTTGTTCTTTAGAATCCCACTCATCATATCTTCCATCAATCCAAATTGCTGTATAAATTTCAGAATATCCACCTTTCGTTAAATAATTAATATTTTGTAAATTATTATATGGAATCCATTCAATTATATTCTTTGGAAGAAGTGATTCCTTTTGACATGTTTGTATTAAATTGTCAATATCTTTATTTCCAGATGTCCAATTTGAAAATTTTGCTCTTAAATAATTTTGAAGACAATATTCACAATATGATGTAGCCAAACATTTTTGATCACATTTTTCACAAATTCTTCTTGTTCCTGAATTATATTGAACTTTATCTCTATCATAAGAAAGAATTATAAGTCTTATTGCTTCAGTTCTTTCATCTTCTGTAAGAGTTTCATCAACAAGAAGTGTTTGTTTTCGAAATTCGAATTGGTTATGTATGTTATTGTAAATATTCATATCTATTAATTCATTTGATTTCATAATTGCTGTGAAAATTATTTCTTTCCTATTAGTTGAAAAATATTTCTTTTCAGTTTGAAAAAAAAACATAATGCAATCTTATATTATCTTTTTATTAATTGAAAATAACGTTAAAATAAAAAAGAAAATTGTTTTATCGAAAGTTATACAAATAAATAGCAAATGTTTCACAAAGAATGCTGTATTACGGAAGTATGTTGGCAAATTTAGGTGTACACATAATGCAGCTTGTAATACAATAGAAAGAAAAAATTCATGATTTGATATCAGATATTCTGTAAATAGTAAGAAACGTAAATTCATTCTACATAGTCTGCAGAAATCTTTTTTATGTGTTGTAATACTATAATCATTTTTAATAATCTATGAAAAATAACAAAAGGAAATGTAATGATAAATTCGGAATGAGTACGTCACAAATATTATCAACATCACATTTCCGAAATGAAAGAACTTATTATTGGAAAATGGATCTAAAGGAATTTTTTAAACTTTAACTTATAAAATAAAAGTTTAGTTTTATAAAAATAAATATTAGATATACTCAAAAATAATTTTACCTAGATAATTATGTAGTGATAAAATTATGATTGTATCAAAGGTTTATTTTTTAAAATTTTGAAAATATTATTCTGTAAATCGCGTCAAATTATGAATTAACCATCGAAGTAATAATGAATTACTACATAGAAAATTTCAACATATATATTGTTTTTAAAACTCGTTAGTCGAACTACCAAGGATAATTATTCAAGCGCGCGTTAAAAATTTAACGTGTTTTTAATAATATTATTTATTATTTATTATTTATTTATTACTTATTAAATTTACTTCGTCGTGTGTGACGGCGATCCTAATATTCAAGACTTCCAATAAGAGAATCATAAACATAAGTTGGTGCCAAGTGAGAAAGAGGCTTTATCAAAATTTTTTCTATTTTGTAAGATGATAAAATTCTGAATACGTGTAGTATAATCTTTTATTATTAGCCGAATGATTAGCCATTATTATTATACAAAATTTCATAATTAAACAATAATAATAATAATTATTGGCGTCAATCAAGAAAGATTTATGATTTTCTCAATTTTTATTTTTTTTATTTATAATAATTTTTAATTGAATGGATACGAAAAATATATTCGGATTAATCGGATTAATTTGATAGAAGAATTTTACTTCTAAAGACAAAAAAAGGGAAAAAAAATTCTCTATATATCAGAAATATATATATAAGGGTCAGGTTTGAGTTTGCGTATTTGGAACTAAAAAAATCCTGAAAATTTTCCTTTTTTAGATAATTTTTGATAATGCCAGTCAGAATTTATTTCCTATTATAGTAACCGGCTGACATTATCATAATTCCGGCCCTGAAAAAATGCGTACAGCTCATAGTAAAAAATTTTTTTCATTACCTGACACCTATATATATATTTCTGGGTCCTTATAAGGCGTCATTTGTCCATTTATATACATTTAATTCAGTGAAAAAAAAACTTTTTAAACTAAGTAATAATGCAAATAACGCAAATAATAATTTGGAATGTCTTTTAAAATTTTTAAAAATTTAAAAATTTTCTTTTTAAGATTTTAATTCTTTCTCCCTCCCTCTCCCATATATTCATTTCAATCATAAAACAAAAAAAAAATAATTAATTCAAGGTTTCTTTTCTTTTGTTCAACTATTTTCATTTTGATTTTTGATTTTAATTTTTTTTTTTTTTTTTGAAAAAAATAAACTATTTTTACAACTATAATTTAATATTATCTTTTTATTTTTCTACTCACCTTTTTCTCTTTTATGACATATACATACTTTTTCACGCCCAAAAAAAAAAGATTTCTTAATTATTATCGGATAAATCAAACTCATTACTACCAAGTGCTAATTTAATAAGATCATAAATAATAATTCCACCAACTAAAATTATGGCGATAATTCCAGCAATTTTAGAAACCATCATTCTACACTTTCTGTTAGCAGGAAAAGCGATAAAAGGTTTAGGTTTAATTGTTGATGACGATGATGATGTTGGTGATATTGGTGGTGGTGATGTTGGTAACATTGGTGATATTGGTGATATTGGTGATATTTGTGTCGTTTGTGTCGTTGGCGTTGTAATTATTAAATTATCATTAATATTTTCATTACTACGATTATAACGATGATGTAAAGATCTATTAGAATGAAGTATAGTAAATTATCACCATCAGTTGAAGAACTTGTACCACTAATTATATTCGTTGCTTTTTCGATTATATTTTTATGTATTAAATTACTGTAATATACAGTATTTTTTTTATCGATAGTATTATCAGCATTAAATATAGGAGATGTGGTGCACTGATGGTGTGTAGTTGCTGTAGTTGCTGATGATGAATATTAACGTATAAATAAAATAATGTAATAAAATTACTTGTACTTATTATTGGTCCAATTTGCAAATACTACAGTAATATATTTAACCTATATTTAATCAACTATTCTAGGAGTTATTAGTAATAAAATCGTGAAACGTAAATTTTCTAAAATTTTTTATCTTCTACTACTATGTATAAAAGAAAAATAAAATTATGAATGTAAATACTAACTATCCTTTATTTATCAGACGCACGAACTCTTTATTTAAATATTACTCATATTCCTGTTTAGATTCTTTACCGTGCAACTATTTCAATTTTTTTATGATATAATAATGTTGGATTGGTTTGATTTTAGTATATAGTATAGATCCTTAATAGGATCTACGCACGTGCGTACAGCGTACGTTCGTATATATACTGTTTTATTATCGACATTATAGTTACCATATTGTATAAATGTTAAAAAGCATTATTTAGATTTATTTAATTATATAAGTTATTGACAAATTTATGTAATATTGTAACTTAATAAGTTATATATGAAAAAAGAATTATTTAAATTACAAACTAAGACATATGTGATGATGTTATTTTACCTACTCTAGTCTTAGTGTTTAAATAAATCAATTTGTAAATGATAAAAAAAAATTCAAATTTCTAAAAAAAAAAAAGAATATATAAAAATTATATAGAACTTTACTGAAACCCGTATTTTTTCAGTTTTGAAGCTACCTAGTCACTGCTTACTTTCTTTTCATAAGCTGCGACCAAGTAGCTGTAATTTATTTATTTATAAATATTTCTTTTGTGTTATTTTATAAATTTTAGTTAAGTGACCTATAATCCAAAACTCAGAATAATCATAAATTTTAATTATTTAAAATTAATATATCAAGTAAAAAGGTAAAAATTAGGCCTCTTAGGTATGAAATTGCAGTAGTAGTGAAATAAACAATGAAGATGATTATTAGAAATTTATTAATAACAGAATGATGTTAGTTATTAATATGATCATATTTACAAATACTTAGTATCCAAATATATATTTAAAAAAGCATCATTACATCGTACAATTTATTAACACGTATATTTAATAAATTATAGCAAATTATTGTAAAATATATTGTAAATAAATATATTGTAAATTTAACATAAAATACAGTCAATTCGTTATAATTGGATAGCCGCAGATTTTTAAGCGATCAACGTACTAAATTTCCGTTGACATAGCGCCCCTGGTGACACAACTATAACTGAATTTTTAGACACGTCTCTATTTATTGTATTCTCAGTAAATGGGCTTGCTCCACTGTAACAACTATATCACCTATTTTCTTCCAGCTCTTACTCTTTAGTAGTGGTCTAAATACACTTCCGATTTTACTATCAATTTCATTTACCTAACTAGAAACAATGTGAAATTTTACAAAAAATTTCATTTATTTTAAAAACTTTTCATTTGACCATTACACACCCAACCCGCTAAGAATTAAAAAAACTTGCCCATTTGGGAAATATAACCCGGATGGGAAGACAGAAGACTTATTTGCATTACTCAATCATCCTCTATTCTCATTTAAATTTCTATGCACACTCTTCTCTATTCATTTACGGTCAAGTTTCTTCCTTTCTTCGTCAGTTACTTTGCATCCCCCATAAGCGTTCATTTTTCTTTCACTTTCTTTCATCTTTTTTTATTTAGACATCAATACTATTAAAAGAATCAAAAAACTCTCTATAAAGAAACCAGAAGAAACCATCAATTAGTATAATCAGAAAAATATTACGAATTTTAAAAATTAATTGATAAAAAATATTTAAGATTACTACCTGCTTTAGTTTTTTTCTGATAATATTTACAGAAGATTCTACTAATTCAATTGGTTGATTCATTCTGCCATGGCCATGACCATCTTTTACGTTCTCCTAATTGCAATAATGAAAAACATAAATAAAATATCGTAATATGGTGTAATTCTGTAAATAAATACAGCTTCTGTTTCATTTGGCGCAGTATTTTGTTGAGATTTTCATGTTCTCATCATTTTAATAAATATTTAAATATTTAAAGTTTAAAATGCTCAAAAATATTTAAAATTATGAAATTATGAAGTAAAACTAGCACGAAAGTTTTTTATTTTATCGTACTAATCTATTCAGGTATTGCATATAGAAGTAGATAAGAAATAAGGTTATAAGAAAAGTCTATTTAAGCTTATTAGACGAATAATTTAGACTTTTGTGTATACTTAACAAATAAACTTTTATGTATATTAATAAGTAAACTTTTATATATAATTTACTTTGAAATATAAAATTATTATTGTTAATAAGAAAAAAAAATTTAGATCGGGGAAAAATAATTGTTAATAAATAAAACCTGAATGATATTATCCAAGAATAAGAACATTTTTCAAATTTCTTTCAAACGATTTTGATTAAAATAAAGTCTTAGTTCTTACGCCTTTATGGTTACACTTATTGAAGCATCATTATTGTTAATAATATTAAGATTTTTATTTGATCAAAATAATGGTTGACAGGAACTCTTTCTGACGATCTTTCATACCAATTTTTAGCGGAAGAAATATCCAACAAAAATACAAATATTATATACAAACTATATATAAACATGTCAAAAAATACAGATATAATGTTGGGAAAACAATTTATAATAGAGTTCTATCAAGAGTTTGACGATTTTGATTTTGAGAAGAGGTATTTGCAAAATACTTACGATATGCTGAAAACAAAGGAGTTTCAAGAGTTTACAAAAAAGACTACAGGAACCTGGGATGTAATACCAGAAGTATTTTCACAAGATATGAGAAAGCCATTCTCAAACCAAACAATAAATATTATAAATTTTATAATAAGGTGGAGTGCACATATCTTGAAGAAAAAATTACCACGATAATTCTTCATCTCAACTGAAAGACCACAGCAATACTACAAGGTAACGTGAATTAGAAGGGACGTCAACAAAAAAGGAATTGGAATTTGCAAATAGTGTACAGAAGAGTTTCAGCAGCGAAACTCTTTCCCAAATATTCTGGAACAAAATTTTTTTCACAATATTAGACATTTATTTCTTTAAATATAACAAAAAATGTTCATTTCCAGTTAACTAGAAAGAGTTTCTATACTCAAACAACTTTACATTTTTTTTTTTCCTGTTGCTCTTCATGCTTAAACGTTAGAAACAACCCTACTTCCCTTCAGTGCTATTTTTATAGGAACCACTATCTCTTTCCAACAAATCCACGAAGTCTTCTCAGAAGATAACTATATCCGAAGATAATACCTCTCCGCCTATACAGGCCTCTAATGCCATTCTTCATCTTTACCAACCTTGTAAGGTCCATTATTTCACTAACACAACAAAATTGATCAACCCTTAAACAACTTGTGATACACATGGATGCGGTACTCTTTATAATTCCAAAAAAGCAATTAAATGCCAAAAAGACGTTGAGCCTGTGGGACTCACCACCACACAAAAATCAATATCATCTTTTTGGTGTTAACCATATAGTGCAAGGTCCCAATTCTAACTCGCGAAATTACAATTCCTGGTACACCAATTGAATATGAAAATCTTTATAAAAATTGCTGGAATAAAGAGGACCAGTTATTTATGAAATATTGAATGAATTTAAAAGAATAAATGTTAGAATTGAATCAATTAAAGGTATATATTTATATAATTCTTAATGAGAAACCTACGCGTTACTTTGTTAAATAACTTACTAATTTCTAACACATATTTAAAATTGAAGTATTGTAATCATTTTTCCGTATATTATTTAAAGTAGGCATCTTACAAAGAACAACTATTGAAAAAAATGTCCTATAGCGGTCAAAATAAACAGCTGCAAGTCAAAGAAGTTCACTCCAACCGTTTAGGTGTCGGTTATACTGTTACTATTAAGAGATATACTTCCTATATAGGAGAACGCAACCCTGAATTGAAAAAAGCAATAAAAAGTCCAATATTTAAAGACAATACTCAAACAATATTCGAAATTGAAATTCAATGTCATCACTTGCCCAAACAAGTAAAATATTAGAATCGTCACACAAAAAGCTTCTTGGCTATGAGGCCCACAGCAACACAACCAAACCTGTCATACTCAAATGTTATATGACATGCCTACCTAATCCAACAGTATTTAAACAGATCCAACACGTACCTGAAAAATTTGAAATATATCTCAAACCACCACCATTTTGTTATTCCTCAATTCTCGTAGATAAATAGGCTCAACAGCAGGAGAAAATTTGGTTGCACCATATTAAAAAGCGTAACAAAAAGAAATATCTTTACCTTTTTTACTACCGGTTTATTACAGAAACACCTAGAACATCAATCTGTTCGACTACAAAATCAGACGCCATTTTAATGTCAGTTCCATTCCTCAATACAATAATGGATACAAAAAAGCTTTAGAGCTTAGACAACAATACCAGCAACGCCAGAATTATTATATAGAAGATGTTACCACTAAATCCAATACTAACGCACATTATGTTATTTCTGAACAAGACCAGGTGCTTATTAATGCTTCAGACTTATTTTTACGTAGAACACCTACTCTGGATGTGGATTCACATACCACCATGAGTGATAACTCGTATATATCTGCTGCTGAATAAGTAGTGACTGTCATCTACCGGCGCATGAATAATTCAACACTATAAAACACAACAATAGACTCTTTATTAAATGCAACATTCTATACCTGGCAGTATTTACGTATAACATCTGGTAGATGAAAAAAATACAGATATATGATTTAGTTAGAAACAATTTCTTTTTTTTTATTTTTGTGTACTTTTTCCTCTATGTCGTTTCTTACAATGCAGGTAATGCTTAGTATTGTTTTTATAAATAATAGGCAATACGATCCTTATGAAGGTTGGGTCTATAAAAAATTTTCTTCAAGCAAAAGGCGTAAAAATCAGAAAAATTCGGATACATAAAAATATTAAAATGGAAAATTACAAATAAAAAAAAATACAAAAAAAAATTTAAAAAAAAAAAATTTAACAAAAAAAAAAAAAAAAATAAATTACAATAGTTCTGACTCATTTCAATTTGTAGAACCAAAGTTAAACTAATAAAGTCATAATCATCCCTGTATACTTTATACGTGATGAAAGTAATACAAATAGAGAGAATTATTGGTTTAAAAATCAATTTTTATTGTACGGCTATTTAGTTTATTACTTACTGTATTTATTATATTATTGCTATAATATAGTTGCATAGCAGCCATTAGGTGGTCTAGTAATTTAATAATCACACAAATACTTAGTAACCTATAAATATTGTAAAAGCTGCTAATTAGTAAATTATTAAACTACCTATAAGTAAATTACAAGTTGCTTATTTATAATTTAATAAGCTACCTATAACTTTTACAAACTTTTACCTAAAAGTTGCTTATCGAAAAAAGTTAAGTTACCTTAAAGGTAACCTAATTGTATTATTTAAACTTAAATTTACATCTACTAATAGACGGCATTTAGGTAATTAGTAGGTGACTTAGCAGTATTAAATTCTTAGGTTTCAGCAAAGTAATACACCTAAAAAGTGATATATACAATAATATTCAGTTAGTACTTGCCATTCTTTGAATTCCTTTTAAATATTTTGGATAATTTTTTACTACCAACTAAAAAAAATTAGATAAATATTTATTTCAAAAAAAAGCTTTATTAAATAAATTTACCTTTAAAAATACTGCTTATTTTTAATGTACTGCTGTTATTCTTCTGATTGCTTGATTTGTCAAAATCATCAACTAAAAAAAAAAAAAAACAATTAATTACAACAATTAATTAATACTTATTACAAAATATTTTACAAATACTTACTGTTATCGGGAATATTAAAATTATCATATGATTTGCTGTGAAATGCTACAAAATCGAAGATATTGAATATTAGTAAAATTATCAATAATAAAATAAATTATTATTTACCAATACCTTCTTGTTCTTCTATTAATAAAAAAATATATTATAATCAATGTTAATATACATTATATTAAATTAAACAAAAATATTGAATAATTAATAATTATATAGTAAATATGTTAAATGTGTTTAATACCTTCTGTTGCATTTCTTGGTTCAGGAAAGTTTTCAAATTGATGAATTTTACTTGTAAATAGTCTGCTACCTGTATAATTTGTTTCAAAACTGCTATCTGTTTTATTTATTTCTAAATTATCATTTACTTCTGATACAATTGTTGTATTTAGATAATATAAATTAATTTCATATAATTTTTTACAAAGTGTATAAGCATCGGGTCTTTTTAATGGATCAGCATCCCAACATTGTTTCATTAAACTTTCATATTCTAAAGGAGTTCCTGATACTATTCTTGGTCTTATACCATTAATGATATTCATTGCAAGATCATAATCATGTTCATAATTAATAAATGGTGGTTGTCCAGATGAAATTTCCCACATAAGCATTGCAATACTATAAATATCAGATGCTTTTGTAGTTTGTTTTCCAGAAATAACCACAGGTGCTATATAAGGAAGATTTCCATATATACTGTTTTGTGGTTTATCTGCAGGGCCACAGAATCCAAGATCACTAATAAACCATCTTTGATTTGATTTTGAAAATAATATATTTCCTGAATGCAAATCTCTATGAACTGCATTTTCCTTATGGATATAATCAATTGCAGAAGTTATATCCACAGCAATTTGTACTTTTTCTTTCCAGGTAAGTTGGTTATGATTTTGTTGTATATATTTTCTTAAATCTATAATCCCTTTAAACATTACGAGATAAAAATTACCAATTGATGGATCTTTTGTTAAACCATAACATGGAATAATTATTGCATGTTTATTGCTTATGGTTAAATGTGATTTAGCCTATAATAATCAATTTTTTATTAATAAAAACCTTGGAGCCTTTAATATTTAAAATGCTTTTAAATTACAAACCTCTTCAAACCAATTTTTATTTGCATTTTCAACATTTTCTAATTTTTTAAGTACTACACTTTGTCTTCCATATCTTTTTAGTTGTTGTTCTTTAGAATCCCATTCTTCATATCTTCCATCAATCCAACTTGCTGTATAGATTTCAGAATATCCACCTTTCGTTAAATAATTAATATTTTGTAAATTATTATAGGGAATCCATTCAATTACATTCTTTGGATTAGACGATTCCTTTTGACATGTTTGTATTAAATTATCAATATCTTTATTTCCGGATGTCCAATTTGAAAATTTTGCTTTTAAATAATTTTGAAGACAATATTCACAATATGATGTAGCCAAACATTTTTGATTACATTTTTCACAAATTCTTCTTGTTCCTGAATTATTTAGAACTTTTTCCGCATCATAAGACATTGTTATAATTCTTATTGCTTCAGTTCTTTCATCTTCTGTAAGAGTTTCATCAACAAGAAGTGTTTGTTTTCGAAATTCGAATTGGTTGTGTATGTTGTTGTAAATATTCACATCTATTAATCCATTTGATCTCATAATTGCTGCCCAAATTACTTCTCCCCTATCAGTTGACATAATGCAATCTTATATGATTTTTTTATTAATTTTGAAAAATAAAACGTTGAAATAAAAAAGAAAATTATTTTATCGAAAGTTATACAAATAAATGGCAAATGTTTCACGAAGAATGCTGTATTACGGAAGTATGTTGACGAATTTAGGTGTACACATTATGCAGCTTGTAATACAATAAAAAGAAAAAAATTCATGTGAATTTAAATTTTGATATACTGTAAATAGTAAGAAACGTAAATTCATTTTACATATTCTGTAGAAATCTTTTTATGTGTTGCAATATTATAATAAACTATGAAAAATATCAAAAGAAATGTAACGATAAATACTTGTTACTTCGGAATGAGCACGTCACAAATATTATCAACATCACATTTTCTGAAATGAAAGAACATATTATTATGAGATATACTCAAAAAATAATTTTACCTAGATAATTATGTAATGATAAAATTATGATTATATCAAAGGTTCATTTTTTTAAAATTTTGAAAATATTATTCTGTAAATCGCGTCAAAATTATCGATGTAAAACATATCATGATTTTAACCATCGAGATCATCTTTCTATATTTGAAGTAATGATATCTTTTCACGACAGAGAAAATTTCAACATATAGATTGTTTTTAAAACTCGTTAGTCGAACTACAAGGAATAATTATTCTTTTAGGGTAGAGTCAATTTACTTCGTCGTGTGTGATGGCGATTCTGATATTCAAGACTTTCAATAAGAGAATCATGAACATTAAGTTGGTGCCAAGTGAGAAAGAAGGCCTTATCAAAATTTTTTCTATTTTATAAGGCGTAAAAATTTTGAATACGTGTAGTATAATTTTTTATTAGCTGAATAATTAGCCATTATTATTATACGAAACTTCATAATTAAACAAAAATAATTATTGCGTCAATCAAGAAAGATTTATGATTTCTCCTCAATTTTCTTTTTCTTTTTTCTTTTTTTTTTTTTGATTTATAATAATTTTTAATTGAATGGATACGAAAAATATATTTGGATTAATCGGATTAATTTGATAGAAAATTTTTACTTTTAAATACAAAAAAAAAGAAAAAAAAAAATTCTCTATATATAAGGCGTCATTTGTCCACTTATATGCATTTAATTCAAGTGAAAAAAAATTTTTTTAAACTAAGTAATAATGCAAATAATGCAAATAATAATTTGGTATAAAAATCGGAGATGTCTTTTAAAAATTTAAAATTTTCTTTTTAATATTTTAATTCTTTCTCCCTCCCTCTCCCCATATATTCATTTCAATCATAAAAAAAAATAATTAATTCAAATTTCTTTTTTTTTGTTCATATATTTTTATTTTAATTTTTAATTTTAATTTTTTTTTTTTTTGTAATAAAAAAACAAACGATTAAAATAATTAGATCAATTAAATTAAGAATAAAAAAAAAGAAAGAAAATTATTTTTACATCTATAATTATTATCTTTTTATTTTTCTACTCACCTTTTTCTCTTTTATGACACATACATACTTTTTCACGCCAAAAAAAAATTTCTAATTATTATCAGATAAATCAAACTCATTACTACCAAGTGCTAATTTAATAAGATCATAAATAATAATTCCACCAACTAAAATTATGGCGATAATTCCAGCAATCTTAGAAACCATCATTCTACACTTTCTGTCAGTAGGAAAAGCGGTAAAAGGTTCAGGTTTAATTGTTGATGACGATGATGTTGTTGGTGATATTGGTAGTGGTGATGTTGGTAACATTGGTGATATTGGTGATATTGGTGATATTGGTGTAGTTGGTGTCGTTGGTGTCGTTGACGTTGTAATTATTAAATTATCATTAATATTTTCACTACTACGATTATAACGATGATGTAAAGTTCTATTAGGATGAAGTAAATTATCACCACCAGTTGAAGAACTTGTACCACTAATTATATTTGTTGCTTTTTCGATTATATTATTAATATCTATATTAGGTAATTCTTTTTTATCGGCGTTAAGCAAAGGTGATGATGGTGGTACTGATGGTGGTGGAGTTGCCGTTGCTGATGATGTAACTATTAATGTAGTTGTTTCTAAATCTTTTTCTCTTTGTTCAATTATTTCTATAGAAGAAATTTGATTTTTTCGTTTTTGACTTAAATTATATAAATAAAATGGTATGATAAAATTACTCGCGCTAGTAAATAATAAACTAGTCCAATTTGTAAATATATTTAACCAAAATCCTGATTGAAATGGTAAAACTATTATCCATGGTAAAAATGTTGATAATAAAATTGCCATTCCTATAATAATATTAATAATAATAATAAAATATAAAAATAAGATAAATAAAATAAGAAAAATAAACGAATAAATAAATAAATTCGATTAAAGAAAAAAAATACGATGATTTTACAACGTACCCCTTTTACAAAGACCTGATCTTTCTAAATTATAACGTACAACAATAGAATAAACTGGTATACTAGTTAATAAACCAGCAAGTGGGAATAAAAATGTTGCGATATCCGTCAAAATATTTCGATGAGATGAATTATCAATTTCTGCTATAATATTTGATGCTAAATCCATTTTATATGTCATTCCTCCTAATATTCCTAATAATATATATGCTGAAGTAGTTATCATAACTGAATACCATGTAGCTTTTCTGATAGAAACATCTGGTCGCTAAAAATAAATGAATGAATGAATAAATGTGATCCCTTCCAAGACAAAAAAATTTTTTCATCACCTACCAAATCGTTGACCCAACTTGGAACGGTAGTTACAAATGCGTAATTAAATAACACGGTACCAACGACCTGACTTTGATTGCTACCGGCCAACGGAACATATTCTTTATGCAGTCCAGTGAGTATGAATGTAGCGATCCATGTGATCGCAATAAAAACGAGTGTCCCGAAAGAAACTAATATGTATGAAATAGTAACAGTAAATAAACAACAAATAAATTACGACGTAAAAAAATTAAAATATAAATATATATATATTTACAAATTTGTACGACTATATTATCAACTAAATCCAAAAATGCCAAAGGAGCACAAAATCCCAACGTTATCTAGGATTTAATATAAGTGAGTAAATGATGGTATTAAAAAAATAAAAATCACATCTCGAAAGGAAGTAGATTACCATAAATCCTAAAGATGCCATCATGTAATTTGATCCGAACGGACTACTCTCATCAATAGCATCATTTATACAAAAGAATCCTAAATTTGGATGAAAACCCAATCCACAAGTTTTACCAGCCCACTTCAATAGCATCAAATCCATTGATTGAGCTGATAATATAATTGAAGCAATTATGACTGATTCTATAGATAAATATAAAATTATTTGTATTATTATTCGGGTTTTTTTTTGTGGGATCAAAAAATTTGTTAAATGCGTAAATTCAATTTTACGCTAAAAAAAAAAAAGGAAAAAAGGTTAGTTTGCATACACGAAAAGGATTTAATAATCAATTTAATAACTATCATATAAAGACATCGAAAAAATATGTATTAGATTTTTTTTTTTTCGTACCTGAAAATATTCATTTCCTCGAATCGTCGTTAATGCTTCACATAAAAGTAAAGAAGAGATAGCACTCAGTGACATAGCAATGATGAACATTATGGTAGGAATCAACCAACCCGACATTTGAAAAAGTAAGGGAACTATTTATGTAATGACGCATCATAAGTCGATTTTAGATAACATTCACGGATATGAATACTTTTTCTTTTTAGTAAAAGTAGTAATTCTATTTCAAATAAAGAAGAACAAAGAAAAAAGAATTGGTCAACCATACTTGTTACGAGTCCAGGACCTGTCATGGCAGAAACCAAAAGTGCAATGCTTCCTATGAAGGAAATCCCACGTTGATTATTATCCACCTCTTTTATTGGATAATAATTCCCTTTACTAAATATTCCCATATATTTTTCGTAAATATTCATATATTTATGCATTGTTTAATATTATAAAACAACAAAGTTGTATTAATTTTTATTTTTATTTTTTTTTGAGACTCCTTTTATACTTGATCGTGATCAGGTTAATCGGGACTGCCAATCTATTGGGCTGTTTCCGATAGTGACATTTATAAGTATGACAACATATATACTATATAATACCTTGATTCACTAAATAATAATAAAAGGATCAGTAGATATTTTAACAAAGAAAAGGTCGTAGAATTGATCGGCTCATACATTTTGTCATACTACTCTATTTCCTTTTATATCATGTGAAAACGCCTTAAAAAATACAATTGATCAATGACTATTTCTTTTTATGATTAGTCGCTGGTGGGTCATAGGGCAGGGCCACATAAATGCATGAAATGTCGTTAATGCATAGTAGTTTGTATCACAACTTTATGCCCAAATTCGCCAGATAACCAAATTTTATTATTTCTTACAAATATAAATAATGATAACAAAATTAAGCCGAAAATAAAAAAAATTCTTTATATATAATGAAAAACTTTTCTACATTTAAATATAATAAATCATATACAATATATATAAAAAAAAGATAATTCCCTCGGGTTAAACAAATAACAAATATAATTTACTTATTAAGTAATAAAAAGTTATAATTAATTATGTACAAAATAATCATAATAATAAAAGAAAATTTCCACAACGTGCTGCGGCTCATGATGCATTCTTTTATCAATCACCAATTGCCCTAGAAATGTTCCTTGCATAATCAATTGTATCAATAATTGATTCGTTGAATTTTGGATTTTTAGGATCCATAGTCGTGATTGATTCACAACTGTTGGGAGAAGGAGATGAAATCCAAGAAAGATTGATCAAATTAACGGTATCTTCCAAAGTTATTCTACCATCTTCATCTTGTAAAGTGGAAATGAAATTCATTTGATATTTATCATTACTAAATAAGTTTAGAGAGAGAGAATTAGTTTGGAATAATTTCAATAAATAGTTTATTGAATTTTCGGAAATTACTTACGTTAGTTGTTTTTTGATGATAGATTGTCTAACGCTTGTACATTTAAATTTTCCATTGAAATCTTTTTGACTGAAATACATCAGTTCGCTATCATCATATTTATTCTCATTTCTTTTTAAAAAATCATCAGATTTTTGTATATTATAAATTATATTATGATTTTTTTCGCTAATAGGGGATGAACGTTTTTGTGATTTTAATAAGAAACGTAAATCTGGTGATTTACTTCTACCGGATACAATGTCTATTATGGCTTGACGACTTATATTTTTAGTTGATTTTATTATTTTCCAACGTCCTATAAATAAGTAAATCTTTTTTTTAAAAAAAACAACAAAAATATTTAAAAAATAAAAATGATTCGTCAAAAAATTTTACCTTCATTCGCGTCCCATTGTAATTTAAATTTATTTTTCTTTTCCTTTTCTTTATATAATACAGTAATAAAACATTCCTCTCTATCATCAACCTTATTTTCAAAATTGTTAATTTCTTTAAATCCAAAAGTATTTTTTAATTTTTGAATTTTCTCATCATCAAAAAAACTAATATCATGACGAAAAGCGGTAGTAATTCCATTATAACCCCTTTTTAAATTATTCCATTCTGATAAATTTAAATTAGTTTTACTAATTTTTGTAAATAATTCTCTACCAAAATTGATTTTTAAACGAAATTCATTATCAGAATTGTCCATTATAATTTTTTGTTGTTGATGATGATGAAAGTTACCGTAACGGTTCCGAGATGGATGAGATAAATTTTTATTACTAATTTGGTCAACAATTTTAGCCAAACAATCATCTAATTGTAATATAGTATTAAAACTATAAATCTTTCCTGATAGATTATTAAATGATAAATCATTATTATTATTATTATATTTGTGGAGAGTAGGAGAAGAACGTCGTAATGATAAAAATGATGAATAATTTGGTGGTGAAGGATTTATTTCAAGAGTATATTTACAATGAGTTATATCATTGGGAAAGACACTACTCTTACAACCATCTTCACTAGGAACTTTCTTAAATGATAACATGGGTAATAATAATTTTGGAATAATATCCAATAAAGTGAATCCTATAATTGGTGAATAAGAATTCGAACGACCTAACGATTCTTGTAATAAAACAACGGCTTTTGAACGTTGTTCTTTGGTACCAGTAATTATTGCTTGACATGATTGATTTCTTTTACCGGTAATTATAACATCTGCTCCTGAAGTTTCCCTTTAGGAAAAAAAAAGAGAAACATAAAATTATTAAACAATATTATTATAATTTAACAAACACTAACAAACTACCTACCTTATTCGATTTAAATTTGAAGAATCTGGTCCAAATATATATCCTGATTTTCCTTTTGGTATTCTAAGTGTCTCTTGGTGTTCTTTTAACTCGATTATTTGATTTGGTATCATTTTTTTTTATAAAATAAAGAATTTAAATTAGAAAAAAAAAATGCAAAGTAAAAAAATATATATATAAATATAATTTTTATATTATATCTAATATTACATACGTATTTTTAAAAAATCAGGATACGTCCTTTATATAAGAAAAAAAAAAATTTTTTTTCAATTTTCTGTGTATACCGAGCGGCCAATAAAGAAAATTAGATAACTATCAAAAAGAGAAACAATAACCATTATTATTTTTTGGCAGTTTATTATTTCAGTAAAGATTTTCAAAAAATTAACCATCTTCTCTAATGAACAAAGCTTTCGTCCAATAAAAATTCGTATAAAATAAGTAAAAGGCGTAAATACCGCAGTATTGCATTAATTATGCGAAGTAAACCATTTGCATAATTGCTTTTGAAAGTTGCTTTTGGTAGTAACGGGGGCTAATTCAAACAATCAGGTCAATTTTGATTATCTTTTTATTGTTACTTTCATTATTACCATAATCATCAAATTGAAAGTGTTATTCTAAAACAATGAAATAAATTCTTCTTAGAATGAAATAAAATTTAGAATATATTCTTGGAATAATAAATTTTGGAATAAAAAAAGAAAAGAGCTCAAGTTCTTAATTTAGCTCATTTCTTTCTTTACGTTCTTTTCGTTCTTTTCGTTCGTTCTTTTCGTTCGTTCTTTTCGTTAGTTCTTTTCGTTACATCCTTTTTATTCGTCCTTTTCGTTCGCTCTTTTCTAGAAAAAAAAAAAATAACAAAGAATTATTTCAATATAATAATGTATTTTTACGATTGGTATTAACTTTTTAACTTTTTATATTATGCATGCATAAAATTCATACGTCTATCCATACATCAAGCATTATTATTATTATTTATTATTATTAATATTAGAGTTTAGAAATTGATAAATTTGGAATGATTCAAACTTATTCAAACATTTTAAACTTTGTAAAATTTTCTTATTTTTTTTTTAAAAAAAAAAAAAAAAAAATTTCAAAGTAAAAAATTCCTTTATTTCATTATGAAATTTATAATTTTATCCGTTATATACCTTATTCGTCTTATTTATCTTATTCTCTTTCAAATATTTACTTTTTAAAGAGTAATTTATTATGATGTATATTTACGCTTAATAAATTAAATAAGCTAAGCTTTTTTTTTTTAAGATTTGCAATATCGTGATGATTATGTGGCGGGTTATCCGTTATCCGTTTTCCTAAAAAAAACATTATTTAAATAATGCTTATTGTTTATTATATTAAAATTTTACAAAGTTTAAAATCAATAATTATCGAGTTCTTATTGTTAACCGTATGAAATTAATTGTATAAAAATTCAAAATTTTCAAATTTTTCCTTATAAAATTTAGACTAATAAAAATTTGTATAAATAAAAAAAAAATGTACATATGGGAATCACGACACTATCACGCTTCTTGTCTTACCTTTCTTCAGTATCATCTATTAGTCCTATCAGTTACGATAAAAAAATGGTAGTATTTCTAGAAAACTTTGAAGAATATTATTATAAAGTACGACAATAAATAATTAATTAATATTGCATGACTTCATTAATTAAAAAAGGTAATTAAAGTGTTACGTTGCAAGTACTTTTTTTTAGTTGTACAAGAGATTTTTTACATTTGTATGATTTGTATGTATTTGAAGTATAATGATGATAACGAAGAAATGAACATTTAAATTTTTTTCTGTGTCGCAAAAAAAGGTATTTTTGTATATATATATAGATAATTATTTCTTTTTTCCATTTTACTTTCTTTAATTTAATTAGTACCTCCGAAAAAAAAAAAATTTAACCATAAACATTAAAAAAAATATTTTTTTTTTTTATACATACCGTATTACCACTTTCCTTAAAATAATTTTCTATCATTCTTCCATAAAAAAAAAAAAAACTTTTTTCTTTCCTTCCTTTTAAAATAAAAATGAAATCATCTTATTCTTTTGTAGCATTAGTTACCTTCCTTCTTAGTGTTAGTACAACTAACGCAAACATATTTCCAACAAATCCTGATGGTGGTGCTGCTATTTTCACTCCAAATCAAAAAGTAAGTAGTTAACACATGATAATTTTGAAAAAAGAATTTTCTTCTTACTTTTCCTTTTTTTTTTCTTTAGGTTTCAATTGAATGGAAAGATGATGGTAAAGCTCCAAATTTAAAAGCTTTAGGCGTAGTTCTAGTGGAATTTATGACTGGAGCAGATCTTGAACAAGTACCCTTGGAACCTATTGGAAAAGTAACCGCTACTGTAGGAAAAATTGCTTGGGTAGTACCAGAGGTTGATCCTCCAGGGAAATTTTATTTTTTAAGATTTTCTAACGGTAAAGTTGATGATGTTTATACAACAAGATTTACTATTACTGGTAAAAATGGTAAATATCCAGCTGAAACAATTCCTCCTCCAGCTGTTGGTAAGAATCTTGGTAAAGTTGGTAAAATTGTTGCAAAAGGTGATCCGAATGGTCCAGTACCAAAAGAAGTTGGTGTAGGAAATCCTAATCCTAATGAAACTCCTAAACAACCTGCTTTACCTGCTGATGATACTCTTAAAGATGATACTCTTAAAGATGCTAAAACTGCAAAGAAAACTCCTAATAATGATGCCAAAGCTCCTGATAATTCAGCTAAAGCTCCTGATAATCCTACACCGACGAATAATATTTTTCCATCAGCTTTCGTATCAGGAAATAATAATACCATTACTACTAGTTCAGCTTTTTCAATAAATTATAATATTGATATTATTGGAGTTTTAACTTTTATTAGTTTATTATCTAGCATGATAATTTAAAATATATATACCGTATATGTATATTGTATATATATTTTTTATAGATTACTTTTTCTAATATTTAATAATGTTAATTTCTAATAATTAATTAATTAATAATTAATAGTGTGTTTAAAATAATACATAACAATTAATTATATTATAACGTAATTCGTGTAAAGATTGATATTCAACACGTTAATAAGTCTAATATGTCTTCAACTGCACGTTTACTGTTTACAAATTAACGAACATTTATTGAAATAAAGATTAGTCATTTGTGAAGCGTGATCCTCAGTTCTCATTTAAGTCATGTAATTCATTAATGCTCAATTTGATATAAAAGAATAATTAAATTTTCAGCCTGCATATTTCGTATCATTGCGTAACAATCGTAAATCCATCGTCGCTCACACGTGAAATTATGAGATATTGGATAATTTTTTGATTTTACATTATTATTATTATTGTTACCTTTATAATTCAGGTAATCGAAATTGGAATTGGTGAAAATTATAACGATATTAAAATATATCGATGGGAAAAAATATGCAATCTCTGAAAATTGAAGGCAATAAAATTTGATACAGTACGCAATTTTTATACTCAAAAATTGATAAAAAAAGGGAATTTATTCAATTAAAAGGAATTTTTTTTTTGCTCGTCTCCAATTTTTTTTTTCGGATAATTTATAATCACGTGATACTTTATAAGCAAATCAGAGTTTTAAAATTCAGAAATTCACATGATTGGATATGATTGGATATTATAATGAACGTCATTGGACATGACAACATTGCAAAATTCTGTTAATTTTCAAATATCATCTAAATAAGAAATTATTACTAATGGCATAATTTTGTTTATGTTTACATCATTAACACACTTTTCTCGTAATATGATTAATTGTTTACGCATGTAATTAAATTAAAATATGGCTGATTTTACTTTGTTTCACAAAAATTCGATATTCATGAAGGATTTTTTTCTGTCCGATGACTTTTAAGGTTTAAGAAAATTATGTGTTGATCAATTGTTACTAGTCAAGTATAGACGATTTTGACGATTTTTGCACTATATCATCTTATGTTCCTATATTAATAAGTTTGTTTTTAATGATTACCTAATCTATTATAAACTCAATTTATTAATTGCATATTTTATTAACTACTTTGTTTATGTCAATCTAATCAGGTTTTAAAAGCTTTTTTGGCTCATGTTTCAGAAGATTCCGGATTTAACGAACACGAAAGTTGACGAAAACTTTAAAGATTTGATTTTAGGAACAGAAATATTTTTGTTAACCTTTAACTTTCTCTTATTAAATATTGTAAATCCTAACTTACAGTACAAAGTAAAAAGTTAGTAATTTCCATTTTGGAGAGGTTTAATAACAGTTCAAATGTTGACAACAACTCAAGATTCAAGAAATCTTAAATAAAAGAACGTACCGTTAATTCACATTAGGTCATTAGGATACATAAGAATTTGTAATAATTATAAAATTTTATGAGAGAAAATTTTTATGACATAGAGATTTATTGAAATCGTTATATAATAAAAATTACTGTATTATCAATTTTAACCTGCCAACACAAAGTAGAATAGTATCTCTTGATGATCGACCGTTATGTATTAGTGTGTGGCGAATGACGTTGATGAGGTCGATGACGTTGATGACGTTAAAGTCACGTAAATCTGATAACAATAATTATATAAAAAGCGTAAAATAAAAAATGTAAAATTTTTGTTACAACTTTCTTATTTTTCTTTTTTTTTTTTGTTTTTCGAATTAAAAAAATTAAAAAAAAAAATTTTTTAGTAATGCCTTCCGCAATTCGAGAAGAAATAGTTCGTGTGGCACTTAATAAATCTTCTGCATTAATTGATTATAAGGTTTATAATGATATACCAAAACAAACTGAATTTAGAAAACAAATAATTCTTGATGATAAATTTCTTACAAGTGAAGAAAAGACTGAAGCGATAGGAATAATAAATAAATCTTATGATCATGATAAAATTCTTTATAATTTTGGTAGAAAAAGAATTTGTGAAAATTGTAATCAAGAATGTTTAGCTATATTATATTGTGAATTTTGTGTTAGAAATTGTTTAAAATCAAATTTTTCAAATTGGTCATCAGGAAATGATGATATTGATAATCTTATACAAAAATGTCAAATGGAAACGATTGATCCAGAAAGGATAATTGAATGGATTCCATATGATCAATTTCAAAATGTTAATAATTATTTATTAAAAAATGATTCCTCTGATATTTATACAGCAGTTTGGATTGATGGATGTTATAATGAATGGGATCCTAACGAGAAACGATTAAAAAGATTTGGAAGACAAAAAGTAATACTTAAAAGTTTGGAAAACGATGAAAATATAAATCGAAACTGGTTTGAGGAGGTTCGTAATCTTAAAAGTATTTAATAAAGCGATAATTAAAATTTTTTTTTAATAAAAAAATCGTTTTATAGGCCAAATCACATCTAACTTTAAGTAATGAATGGCAAAGTAGTGTTCAATATTATGGATTAACACAGGATCCATCAAATGGTAATTACATGCTTGTAATGAATTCAATGGATGTAAGTTTAAGAGAATTTTTACAACAAAATCATAATCAACTCTCATGGAAAGAAAAATTTCAAATTGTTGTTGATATGACTTATTCACTTTATATTATTCATGAGGAGAATGCAATTCATAGAGATTTGCATTCTGGAAATATATTACATTCTCCAAGAAGTAATAAATGGTATATTAATGAACTTGGACTGAGTGGCCCTGCAGATGTATCATCAAAAAGTATATATGGGAATCTTCCTTACATAGCACCCGAGGTTATTGCTGGGAAACAAGTTACAAAAGCATCCAATATTTATGGTATTGCAATGCTTATGTGGGAAATTTCTTCCGGACAACCACCATTTACTAATCGTGAACATGATTATAATCTTGCGAATGATATTGTTAATGGTATGAGACCAAATATAATACCAGGAACTCCTTTAGAATATAAAAGTTTGATGAAACAAAGTTGGGATGCTGATCCATTAAAAAGACCTGATGCTTATACACTTTGGAAAAAATTATATGAAATTAATTTATATTATTTAAACGAATTATATGAAGCAATTCAATCAGAAGAAACAAATGATGATGTAAATAAAAAAAGTGCCAATTATACAGATGGTAATTTACATACAAGTAAAGTTTATCAATTTGAAAATCTACCCGAACCAAGGAATGCAACAGAAGGTAATTATTATATTAATTAATTTTATTTTATTAAATTATTAGCGTACTAATAATAATCTTCTTCAATTATAACAGAAGAACAAGAAGGTACAAAATAACGAATTTATTACAAATTATTATTTTGAAATGGTTTGTTTTTGTGTATTTAATTATTCTTTTCATATTTTTAATATTTATTTTTTTACAGCATTTCGTAATAAATCTTATGACAACTCTGATAACAGTGAGTATTAATTGAAATTTTTTTTTGTTATTATTATATAACAAATACTGATTAATTCGTCTTTGTTTTTACTTTTAGTTGGTTTTAATAAAACAAATAACCAGGATGAAGGTAACTTATTTTTAGATGAACTTTTATCTTCCAAATAAATAAAAATATAGAAGTATTCTTCGAATTTATTTATTGGTAAAATAATTAATATATATTTGACTATATATTCAATAACGCATGAACAAATTTCATTGATTTGAATTATTTAGATATTCGAAATAAAACAATTCAACAACAAATAAAAGATAATATTGGTAACGTATTTTTGAAATTCATTATATATCAATTGGAAGGAATTCGATTTTATACTAATTTTTTCTTTAAAAAATTTATAATTTTTTTAGATGAAGATGAAGTATATGTTAATCCAAATCTTCATTCGGAAGAACAAGATGAATTAGAAATTCCTGATAGTATTTAACTTATTTTGATCATTTATTTTTTTTAAAAAAATTTTTTTTTATGAATCATTTAAACGACGCTAAGATTATATAGTAATCGTAAGTAAAACATCTTGCAAAAGTTTGTTATTTTTGTAAATTAAATTATTATATATTATTAAATAAATTGCAATTTAAACAATTCTTACGAGTTATTTCGTATTTGTTTTGAGATTTGTTGTCAGGGGATAAAGATGTAGTTTGACACCTGACGCGCATCACCTGAATAACCTTAATATACTTTTTTATTCTATACATTTATTTACGTGAAATTATAAAATATACTTTAAAAAATTAATATTTTAATATTTTGAATAACCATAAATTTGAGTCTAATCACATATTTTTTGTGATAAATAAATTCACTTAATAAACGTAATAATAAATGAGCTATAATTATATTATGATTAAGTGGATCCTCCTCTGTATGTTTTATATTGAAGCATTTTTCTACTTTGGTCAACTCACAACTACTTATAAATAACAGAAAAATGATAATGTTTAAGACATCGGTTAACCGGTTAAAACTATTTTGACAATAAATCCATAATTCTGGTCAGATTTACTTAATGCGGCCCAGAGACTTGGTAATTTCAGTCATGTGTTCCCAAACTCGAAGTTTTAATACCGAATTTTTTCCTATTTATTAATAATGGTATTGATGAAAAATAATCTTCTTTCAACTAAATGTGTTAGAAAAATCAAAAATCGTTACAATTTTCAGCAAAAATTTAAATATTTTCATATCAACCGGTTAATTAACCGATTAAGGTTTTTTTGGACGGTTCCGACTTCTACATTAGCAAATATTTTTGATATTGAGAAGAAAGTTGTCGAATGTACCAATATTTCTTCTTTATTACTATCATCCTAATATTATTCGTATTTGTCAACTATGTTCGAAGGATGGATATCGTAAGATTTTTATGATGTGGTACGAATGTTCATACGATTTTATTTTGGTTCAATTGTTAGATTACTTTTATATTCTAAACTCGTATGTATTAGTTCACAAGGATCAACTTATTCGTACATTTTTTATTCGTGTTAATTCAGAAAAAATAAAACATAACTTCATTCTGTTTGAATGTGAACTATTAAAGAATCTAGCGTTAGCTACAAATACAGTATATGTTTTTTCGAAAAATGTATCCAGATAGTAACTTACACTCAACGAAAATCTTTTCAGAACCTTTAACGTTGATCTACAGACAAATAAAATTTACAAAATAGATTAAGACAAAAAAAAAACATTGCAAATTTATAGTTATTAATTCTTCTCTTTTAATTATTGCTAAAATATTGATTATTAATATATACTGTATATCATAATTTCTGATATTTCATATGCTAATAATTTTTAATATTTTGTTAAAATATTTACTGCGAACACTTTTTTAAAATATGAAAATAGTTAAAATTGGGAATTTTAAATTTTGTAAATTTTGTTAAAATCATAAATCAATTTTATTTATAAAAAATTCTTTGCTCAATTACAAACTGATTTATTTATGCAAAAAAAAAAGTTTACATATACTCTTTAATCAGTGTTGAACAAATCAATACATAATATATATTTTATCATTTATATCTAAGAATTGAACTTAAATTTCTTTGACAAATTTAACAAATCTAATTTTAACCTATTTCTTTTTTTTTTTAAATACAATTACTTTGCAACTTTTTGATAATAGTAATATTATATTTCACACTCTAAACATTCAGAATGAGGAAGACTTTTTGTAAGGAATTAAGTAATTGAGATGTATAAACAGCTTGTGAATGAATTGCTGATTTTCTTCTCCCCTCTAAAAAATAATTTGATTTTTTGTACTTATTTGCCTTTTTGAATTGCTCTTGAATATCATAATCTCGTTGTTCTCCACAAGTATTTAAATGAAATATATCAACCAATTTATGTACTTCAGCTACATTTGGTCTATTGTCTGGATTTGAGTTCCAACACCATTTCATTAAGTCAATATAACATTTCGGCGCTTCTTGATCATTTATATCAGGTCTAATTCCATTACAGATATCTAATGCTAAAACTTCATCATGTGCATGATTGGAGAAAGGTTGTCTTCCCGTTGCTATAAAATACATAATCATACCAAAGCTATATATATCTGCTGCTTGAGTGTAAGAATTTCCTCTTAACACTTCAGGAGCTACATAAGGCATAACTCCATAAACATTTGTTTTATCTATATTATCAGCTTTTCCACATAATCCCATATCTGATATACATATTGAAATAAATAAGTCAGCGGATATTGATAATATATTACCTGTATGAAGATCACGATGAACCATTTGATTTTCATAAGACCAGTAATAATACATATAACATTGAAACCAATCAAATTTCTCATATTGCTTGTTTATAAAATTATATAAATTTCCACCTTTATCAGGATCTTGCGATATTCCATATACTGTAAGAATTTCATCACAACTTTTAATTGAATATTTTTTAATCTATTAAACAAAGTAATTGTTAATATATTATTAGAAGTGTTCAAATTAAATAGAAAAATTTTCATACCACATCTAAAAACTCTGTAGCAATATTTTGTGAGTCATCTAATTGTTTTAAAATAAATTTTTTCTTATCCTCTACATATTTATCATGTTTATTATAAGATAATGGCCCATCTTTCCATGCTGCTAAATATATAATAGAAATTTACCTCACAAGTAATATTTTGTGAATATTTTAGATTGACTTTTGATTCTATTCGTCTTATTATTTCTTTTTCATAAAGATATTTATAATAATAAAAGTCATTCTTCCATATTGCCGAATATATTTTAGCGAAATTTTCATCATTTATTTTTTTTATATTATCAAACTGATCGTATGGAATCCATTCAAATATCATATTAGAATTGCTTTTAACTTTTAGTTGCATTTTCTGGATTAAATTATCAATATTTTCATTTCCACTGGTCCAGTTTGCAAAGTTTAATTTTAAATCATTTACTTGACAATATATACACCGTTCACAATAATTTAATTCTTTGCCACACCTTTCACAGTGTAAGTTTACATATTGAGAAACAATAATACAATATTTTGTATTTTTATTTAGAGATATCCCATATACCGTTAAATCATTTTTACAAATCTACAAAAATTAAATTTATAGTTATTATTTTAAATATTACAGTATATATATATACATATCAGAATTTCATACCTTATCTAGAGATTTATCAGTATTTTGTAAGTAATGTAAGTAATGCAATCTTAAATAAACTTTCTTATTTGATTCTCTTGTCCATTTCTTATCATGAAAACTTAATGGGCCATTCTTCCATATTGCTAAATATAAATTATTTTTATTTATTTCTTTGATGTCGTCAAACTGATTATATGGTATAAACTCAAATATTCTAGAACTAACACACTCGGTTTTTCGTCTTTTTGAATATAATTATCAATTTTTTAATTTCCGCTAGTCCAATTTATAAAGATTTTTTTCAAATAATTCTTTTGGCATCGTTTACACCAATGACATTCCGATTCTACATCATATTTACCACATTTAGTGCATGTTCCATCATAATCATTTTGAAGAATCGTAATATAATCGTTTGTATATGGATTTTGAGAAATTCCAAAATTTTTACCACGATATCTATTTAAATCGTGTATAATCTATTAGGATATAAAATAAATTATTATTAAATTAAAAAAAAAGGTAATTAAATTATATTATATAAAGATAATCTCATACCTCATTTAAAAATTTCTTAGCGACATTATATAATTTTAAAGTAATTTTTGCATTCTGTTGATTTCTTGTATATTCATTTTTTATTTTATCATAATTTAAGGGACCATCCTTCCATATTGCTGAATAGTCTTTAGTAATAATTTTTTCTTTAATATTATTATATTGATTGTATGGTATCCATTCAAGTATTTTATCATCTGGTTCATTGATTTCTAATTGCGTTTCTTGAATTAAATTATCGATTTTTTCATTTCCGCTAGTCCAATTTGTAAAATTTTGTTCTAAATTACGTATTTGACATAATTTACACCACTCATAATTTGCGTCCTTTTCACATTTGTATTGTTCACCGCATTTTTACGATGTATATTTGGAAAATCAGAATATAAATTTCCGTATCTGGATTTTGTGATACTCCGTACATTTTAGAATATTTATTGAATTTTATCTATTAAAATTAAGAAAAAATAATCAGTTGTTTCCAACTAAACGTGAACGTATATCTAAAGAATACATACCATATTTAAATGTTTAATGACATTTTGTGAATTATATAAATATTTTAAAGTAACCACTTTATTTGATTTTCTTGTCCATTCTCTGTCATTATAACACGATGGACCATTCTTCCATGTTGCAGAATATATTATATCAAAATCATCTTTACCTATTTCTTGGATATCACTTAGTTGATTGTATGGTATCCATTCAAATATTATATCCGATTTATAATCAATTTTTAATTGCATTTCGTGAATTATATTATCAATATTTTCATTTCCACTTCTAATCAAATTTTCTTTAAAATAATTAATTTTACATGGTTCACACCATTCTTTAATTATATTTGTATATATTTTACCACACTTTACACAATATATATCTTGAAAAACAATAATATAATCTTCTGTATTTGGATATTGAGATATTCCATGTATTCTAAGAACTTCGCCGATATAAGTTATTGAATATTTTTTATCCTGATAGAAAAAAAAATATTATTATGAAGGTATGACAATTAAATTCAAAGAAATTTTCTTATTATTACCTGGTCAATAAAAAATTCATTAATGATATTTCGTAAATTATATAGTTTTAAGACAATTTTTTTATTCTGTTGTTTTCTTGTATATTCGTTTTTATTTTTATCATAATCTAATGGTCCATCTTTCCATATAGCCAAGTGTACTTTATCAGAACCTTCACCTATTTCTTTAATATCATCAAATTGATCATATGGTATCCATTCAAATATCATATCATCCAGCTCATTAATTTCTAATTGCATTTCTTGAATTAAATTATCAATCTTTTCATTTTCACTTGTCCAATTTGTAAAATTTTGTTTTAAATTATTTATTTGACATGATTTACACCATTTATACATAGCATCATATTCACTCATATATTTTTCGCCACATTTCTTACACTGATCGTCGTCATCTTGTGATGACATTTTTATAAAAAATTATTGTTTGAAAAAAATGTAAAGCCAATACTTATTTCACAAAAAAAAGAAGAGTAATAAAAAAAAAACGAAACAAAGTTTCAAAAATGATTGTACACGTTACCGTATTTATCAAGTAAATTAAAGGTTATCAGACCATTTACGTACTAAAGCTAAGTGGTTTAATTTTGTTAAATGATCCGCAAAAAGATTCTCTAAAATCGTTCTATTTATACGAATTAACGTGTACATATAATCATGATCCCACATGACTGATATATTTTAAGAAAAAATGAAAAAAATTTTTATTACTCAATAAACAAAGGGTAAATAAAAAATTTACTATTGGCTGTACGCATTTTTTCAGGGCCGGAATTATGATAGTGACAATCATTTAATTGTCTAAAAAAGGAAAGATTTACATGACTATTCTACTATTCTATACTTACAGTGGTGTGCAAAAAAAATGACAATTTTTCAAGTCACGTTAATTTTTTAACCAATAAACCAATCAAAAAATAAAAAGTATTATTTTAAAGCTAAAACATAGTAGACTTTATTAAAAAAAATTAATATGGTATTCGTTCACCATTTCTGTCAATAACCTCCCTACAACGTTGCGGCATTGAATTTACAAGATTAATTAGGAGGTTATTTGGAATTTTTACCCATTTTTCATGCTAAAAAACATCTAATTCATTAAGATTTTTTGGTCTACGCAACTCTGTATTTCTCTTAACAATTGCCCAAAGGTTTTCTATGGGGTTTAGATCTGGACTATTGGATGGCCAGTCCATAACCTCTGGGACATTATTTTTGAGAAATTCCTTAGCAACCCGACTAGTATGTTTAGGATCATTATCTTGTTGCAGCCGCCAACTATCTCCTAACATACTGTACACCTCTGGAATTTGTCTTTCTAATATTTTTGTGTAAAATTTTCCATCCATTATACCCCTAAAACAAAAAAGACTTGTTTTACCTCTTATGCAAAAACCACCCCATGCAAAAATTTTACTTCGGTCTTTTGGTATGGGACGAATTGGCCGTTGTTTTTTATACCAATGTCTTACTGTGTTGCGGAATAGCTGGAAAGCTGTCTCATCACTAAATAAAGTATTTTGCCAGTCATCATTCATGTGATTTTGTGCCCATTCAATACGTTTATGCTTATGGGCTGGAGTAAGCATTGGTGTAGCAAGGGGGAGTGCATTTTTGTATCCGTGACTGGTCAAATACCTTGAAACTGTTGAGCAAGAGACGTTAACACCAACATCTTCCAATTTGGCAGCAATGAACTTGGCGGTAATTGTGGGTTTTCTTCGAATATATTGTCCAATTTCACGAGCAGCCTTTTGCGTTATTTTACTAATACGTCCATTGCCACCTCTATGTTTCACATCTCCGGTTTTTTTGATTTTTTTAAGGTTCCTATATATTGTCCTAAGTGGTATCTTTGTCAAAGAATGAATTTTGGCGGCAGTACGTATTCCTTGCCTCCAGAATTGTAATATCGTTTGTCTTTGAGTTTCTTGCTTAGATAGTGGCATTTTATACGGTTAATAAAATACAATTTTATTATATATGGGAAAAAATTTTTCGTTAAAAAATAAAGTAATCACGGGGCTTTCATACGCATATTTATTTGTGTAGATACGACTAAAATCGGATAAGTTATGCCTGCTGATCATTACTCAAAAAAATTGTCATTTTTTTTGCACACCACTGTACCTATTTCAGTATTTTTTCGGATCCTGGTAAATATATCTTTCGTTAGTTCCCGTTGTCTCATTCTGAAATTAACCAATCCTTTTTTAGATCCGACATCAAACAATTATGTAATGGCCTTACAATATGAATCAAGGAAATTTAAGAAATCACAAATGGAGTGATAAATTTCGGATGGCATCCCTATAAAAATTCTGGAAAAAACTCTGATATAAAATGATCATTTTTCTCATTTTTCTGGTTTTTATTCTGAAGAAACTCAAACACGTGATCATCTTTCTGAATAATTTTTATAGGGCCTCAGAAGTTGCTTGTGGATTGAAGTATTTACATTCCACAAAAATTATTCATAGAGATTTGATAATATATACTAATTGTCCTGAGCGTAGCAAATGACATTCAATTGTTATCTGATAGTTAATCCATGTAATATTCCTTCTTTCCACCTCTGCATTGTCCTTTTTTGATTATATACGCTTATTTTATTTAGTGCTACATATTACATAACAGTTAACATAATCAATTTTTTTGTTTATGTTGTAATAAAGAAAGATACTGTATAATAAACGTGACGGATTCCATTTTCCTAGTTTATTTACTTCATTCATTTTATTTTCATGTTTTAATTTAAATTATTTTTGTTTTATTTTTATAGCATGCAAAAAATATAACTAATGATTGTAAATCTTGGATTAGCAAAGGAATTGGAATTCCAGCATACATGTATGTCGAACCATAATTAAATGGTTACGGTACATTTCGCCGAAATCCATTTTACCGAACCCCATTTCTCTGAAGCCATTTCCCAAAGGGATATTTCTCCGAAAGGACATTTCACTGAATCGTCCATTTCGCCAAATTCCATTTCGCCGAAAATGGTAGCGATTAACATTTTTATAAACAAGAAACCTATATATAAAAATGATACATTTGTATATATTTTTAAAGAAATTATGTATATAGAATGAATTTTGTTTGAAGGTTTTAGATATTTGGAATTCTATGATCAAACTGTACCTAGTATAATTGAATTTGCTTGTCAAGCTTTAGCTATTCATGAAAATAATGCTTTCTTTGAACCTTGTCGTATACTTCCGAACAAATCTGGTACTATCGTAAAAGAGACTTGGTTTCCGGGTGTACATAGTGAAATAGGTGGTGGAACTTTTAACTTTTTTATCACTTAAAGGCAATGAATGAATAACTAATGCAACTCTTTTGTAGATGATAGAAAATATTGGAGGTTTATTAATGCATGATAATATCGAGTCTTATCGTGCTCGATTCTCTCCTGCTGATATTGGACCTTCTTGGCCACTACGTGGCCCATTTTCATCCAATCATTCGGTCCTGTGACCGATATAGCTACTCCCTCATCCAATAACTATTTAATATACAAATTTTGATCACTTTATTATAAAATAATAAATAAGATACACGAAAAAGGTCTCAGTTGCTTACGTCATACATATCCAATAACTTTATTATCAGTCATGTTTATGAATTATGATAACTGATTTACCACTAGGATTGCTATGTATATCATGTATATCATGTGTGTTTATGATAACTGATTTACACTAGGATGCTACTCTACCATGTGGCCTTCGGCCACATGATATACATAGCAATCCTAGTGGTAAATCAGTTATCATCTACAACATGACAGATAACAATTACATGTTTCAGTGTTTCACTATCCTTTAATGTTACTATTATAATTAATGTTTATCACCATGTGGGTCTATGATTTTCAGATTCGTTTCGTTTCGTACTAAAATGATCTACATCATGTGATCATTAATTATTTCAATACTGCGCCGCATATTACGATATTAATTTACCAACCTATCCTGACTATCCATATAAAATAAAATAATTAATTTACCGACCACTTTTTATATTATGGTAAATTATGGCACTAACCAGGATATTATCACACTGATATTAATTGTCAGGCAATAAATAAATAACTTACTTTTTCGCGAATAAATATTTTCAGGAAAATTAAGTAAAAAAATGATTAATGTATTATAAACAACGAGATAAATTTAATAAAAATAAAATTTATCGATTTCTTTATATTAGTATAAAAACAATAAAGTAACCAAATGGAATAAATAATTTTTTCGGCGAAATATCCATTCGGCGAAATGTCCATTCGGTCGAAATGTCCATTCGGCAAAATGTCAATTCGGCGAAATGTCCATTCGATAAAATAGCTCTGGCGAAATAGGTTTCTGTGAAATGGTATTTCGGCGAAACGTCCTTTCGACGAAATATCACTTCAGTGAAATATCCTTTCAGGTGTGATGTCTTCAATAAATGATGATTATTTCATTTTTTTTTGTTTTATATGACACATTCCCAATTTTTAGATCTACTTTATTACTTCATATATTAATAAAAAAAAAAAAAAGAATGTATTGTTTAGTTAATTTGTCAATCTTTATTATTAAAAAAAAGTCATGTAAATATAACATTTTTGTGAAATTATAGAAAAAAGAAAATCTACAAAACATTATCGAAGTAAAAAAGTGTTGAGTTAAAAACCTAATTTTGTTTTATTTTTAAACAAAATTCGTAAATGAACTCGCCGATAAATAAACAATGAAAAAATAAATTTTTCATACAAATCCATATTAGATTTATACCAGAACGAAATCTGCTGATCTACTCTTGAATCACTTAGATCTAAAGACCAACATGTTGGAAGCCTTTTCAATGGCCCCGAATAGTTTGTGTATACTGCGGAAAACTTTTACTTATTTACCTTAATGGGATCATCTAACCGTATTTGATAGAAATTTACTCACTAGTTTACAGCAAAATTCGAAATATAAGTGGACACTTTGAAAATTTTTATTGCCGAGATTGTCGGGTACTCGGGTTACTCGGCTAGTCGGGTTATTTAGAGACGATATATAACACGTGACATATATATATATAATGGCGTAGTATAATAATGGTTATATCATTGGTAGCCTTAATGACCATGATTTTTTCATATCCGTATGTTACACATAATGAGAACTTATTTATAGTTTATTTGTTGGATAGTTTAATAGTTAGTTTGTCCTTTTCTCATTTTCACGAAAAATTTTATATTACGCACTAAATAAATAAAATAATATATGACGGATATGAGCAAAAAGATCGGCATCAGGATACCGGATATTATAGTATAATAAAGTATAATATACTATATAATGTAATTATGTTATATTAAAATTTAATTAAAGTATACCCCCATCATATATATATATGTCCTTTCTAATAACCCGACCAGCCGAGTAACCCGAGTACCCGAAAATCCCGACAATAAAAATTTTCAAAGTGTCCACTTATATTTCGTAATATAATTTTTATTTAGCCCTACAAAAAAAATTCTGAAAAAAACTCCGATAAATGGTCATTTTTCTAGTTTTATTCCAAAGAAACTCGGACACGTGATCATTTATCTGAAAAATTTTTTTATAGGGAACAATTCTACAAATATTATTATTTGGCGAAAAGTTTAAAAATGGCAATTTATGTGGAATATTGGAATTCCGGATATTGGGATCGGGTTATTAGAATTCAGGGTATTGGGATTTGGAATATTTGGATTCAGGATTCGGGATTCGGGAAATTGTATTTTTCAGGAAAGGGTCCAGTTCGGGAAATTATTATTATTGGTTTCGAGGAAAGATTTTCAGGTGGTCCGACGATGAACGCCACGTTCACAGTTATAATGAATTATTCGAAAATGGTTATAATTTACTCTCAGAAATTGTAGAAACATTATTCACTTTCTTTTTTTGTATTTATTGTTAATAATTATATATACCTACCATAAAGCGTTTTTTATAGTTCTTGGATATACTAGGGAGTAAGAAATATACATAAAAAATTGAATATTTAATAAGAACCAAACATGTTATTTTACTCATAGAGATAGCCATGGTTACGTATTTATAATAAATTATTATTCGAAAATAGTTCTAATAAGGAAACCTTTAAATTGATTATATTATTACGTGTTCACGTATGAATATAGATTATTAATTCTGGAAACATGAACTTTTTACAGAAAAAGGACTCTAAAGATAAGATGCAAGAATGAAAAATAAAAAATCAAGATGATGATCCAAAAAAAAGTAAAATCAAATAAGTGTTGTGCAATGCAAAATTCGGCAAAGATGGAATATAAAAAACGGGAGAAAGAAAATTACTAAGAGTAAGATCACTTTTTTAAACGTTTGATTAGTAATGACTAAAGATACATGGCCATATTTTTGAAACCAGAATTTTATACTATTGTCTTTTTGCATTTTTACTGTTTAAAGTTGCATTATTTTAGTATTTTAGCGCTTTTGAAGTTTCCTTTTTTTAATAACATAATAAAAATGTAAAAAATTTAGTGATGTAGAACACATAAATTTTGTGATTTAATTTATTCGTATGATACTTAAAAAGTATAAGTAAGTATATAACAACAATTAATACCGGCCCGAAAAGTTTTCCCAGCCCGGAAACTCTTTGAAAATGGATTGCCGATCCGGTTCAAAATTTTCACGTGGTTTTTGGGTAAAAATCTAATAGAATAAAATTTCTATAAATATGCTTTCTATCCCTAAAAAAAAAAAGCAATTAATTTTGTCATAATTTCATTTACACTAAAAAACCTTAAAACATGCCGGTTGAGAATGGACAAACAACTTTCCCAACAACCTCACAGGATAAACTGAACATAAAAAAAAAAATTATTATAAATCGTCAGTTTTTAATTCTCATAAACTGGCAGTTGTTCTAAATTATTGTGAAACAAAGATCATAAGCGTCACCATAAAAAATTCACTATCACGTGATTCAAATGTGGCGCTCAATTTTTTTTTAATTTTGATGAGAAAAAAAAACCAAAGTTTTACTTTAATATTTACCATAAAACGTTTATAATTTCAACCATATTATGCCTATAACTATTTATCTGAAAAACTTTTTTTATCCTAGTAATATATAAATAGATCAAAATTTTGTACTTTAAGCAATATTTCCCAAATAAAAAGAAAAAAAGATCAGCTAATATTATATATATATATATATAAGTATTGAGTATAGGTTTTTAATAAAACGTATTTTATAGATATAATATCTGAAATATCTGAAGGGGGAGGGGAGAGAGAATTAAATAAATCAGCAACGCGCTAAAAAAAAAAAATATAAATATTTAAAAAAGTTTGAAATTAAGCCACATCACAGATCACATGATAGTGAATTTTTTATGGATAGATATTTTAATTGGAGTAATGGCTAAGTAAATATTATTTACCTTTATTATCTAATAAATCATGATGGAACCGAAAATGAATCTAAAAAGGAAGATATTAATAATGATAATGGCAAAGAAAATTTTTTAAATAAAAATTAATTTAAAAAAAAAAGTTTTAAAGAAAAATGCTTCAAACCTTACCTAAATCAAAGCTGATAACTTTATTTAAATTAATAAATTTTTTACTGTATCTTTTTTTGAAGTTTCAGAAAGTTCTGAAGCTTAACAATCCAATGTCCAAAGGAATCAAACAAAACAATAAGTAAAAGAGAACACGCCCTATAAAAGAGAAGTTGAAACTCGGCTGATCAGACTAGTCATGGTTTGTACAATTTTTTAGATGGATATTTTCTCTTGGTTTGATTCAGCTCTTTTCACTGTAATTTTTTAAAAAATTCTTTTTATATAATAAAACATTATTAATTTTTCATTTTTATTTTGTAGGTTCTTTTTGATTCATTTTGGCTTCAAAAGGTGAGGTTTTTTTTTTTAGAAAATTAACTTTATGGAAACATTTTACTAACGTTCAGTTACTTTTTTTTTTGTAGGAATTGCTGGACGCTACGTTACTTCTTGGACTTCTTCTGTTGGAAGCAAATTCAAAATTTTTAAAATTATTTTTATATTTTTTTGCAGGTTATCGGTAGATTGAATTCTCGGATTCTGGGTGATATGATTGGTAAGTTTTGAAACGTTTCGTTAGAGCTAATAGTAAATTTTTGCTAACTTCCTATGACCTATTTACATATTACTCGGGGTCCTAACGAAATCCTAATTAATCTAATCTACTCTTGAATCACTCAGATTAGTGTTGCTTGCAGCACATTACAACATGTTTAATTTCGGCCAAATTCATAATTCCGGCGTTATATCACGTGAAATGGAGAACAAGTTTCATAATGTCACACAAGCGTCATCGATCACTACTATACAAGTCACGTGACATGCATTAATTACGACGACTTTACGCGCAACCTTTACAAAGTATTGCAACTATTATGAAACATTTCCATAACCAACATGTTGGCGGCCTTAATAAATTTCAAAATAATGTCTTATCCCAATGGCCCCGAATAGCTTGTGTATACTGCGGAAAACTTCTACTTCTTTACCTTAATGGGATCATCTAACCGTGGGTACTGGATAGAATTTACTCGCTAGTTTAATATAATTTTTATTTAGCAATTCTACAAATAATATTATTTGGCAAAAAGTTTAAAAATAACAATTTATGCGGTCAGACTCAGGATATTGGGATTTGGGAATATCGGATTCGGGATTCAAGGATTTGGGAAATTGTATGTTCAGGAAAGGGTCCAGTTCGGGAAATTAGTATTCAGGAAAACGACTCCGGGGAAGATATTCAGGGGACCCGACAATGATCATACGGTCACATAGTTATAATGAACTATTCGAAAATGGTTATAATTTACTCTCAGAAATTGTAGAAACGTTATTCACTTTCCCTTTTTGTATTTATTTTTAATAGGATGCCATAAAGCGTTTTGATATACTAGGGAGTAAGAAATATATATGAATATTTAATAAGAACTTATTTTTTATTGTATCAACAGATAGTCAGGGTAATAAATTATTCGAAAATGTTTTATTACGTGTTCACGTTCACAGAACGAAAACGAAACGATAAGTAATATCATGAGTTTTTAATCCTTTTCATTTTCAAAATAAATTATGGCTTGATTTTTCTGTAAATCTTTCCAAAACAAGTATAATTAATTCTTTTTATCCACATTTGCCACATTTTATAAACTATTCGTCACACCGATTATGATAATAAAGAAAATTAACAGTTTAATAGATTTATATTTATTAAGTGTCGGTTTGGTTAACTTTATACTCCTTTTTTTTTAGTTGTTTCCCAATCCTAACATTCCCGTCTTGACAATTTTTTTTATTATGCCCTATAAGGGAAAATCCCGATAAATGATCATTTTTCTGGTTTCATTCCGAAAAAACACTGATTTTCTAAAAAATTTTATAAACCCTATAGTCTTGCGGGCTTCATTGTGTGAATGAATGTATCAAATATATGTATGAAAAATTTTATCTGAACTCCGTAAAAATGAGCCTTTCCCGGATCCCATTCTAAATTATTCTGGGATATAAAGAAAACGGATCGACTAGGAAAGAAATTACTATGGTTAAAATCACTTTTTTAAACTTTTAATTACAGATTTAGCAATTTTTTTTATTAACCACTTATAAAACATTTTATTATTTCTGTAAAAACTTCTTAACAATGACATCAATGGCATCGTAAAATTTTTAGCGAATTCCATACACTCCCATATATCTTACATATTTTAATCTTCGAAATTCGTTTTCACGAGGTATTTGGAAAATATCAGATTTCCGCACCACATATTTTCATGTGGATTTCCATGTGGAAAATAATTTGATAAATTCAGTTATATACAGTAAAGTTATTAATTCAGCTTTTTACGGAAGCAATACATTTTCCGGGCGGTAGGCATCAAATTATTGTTATATATTTTTAAGTGGTTAATAATTTTATTTTATAAGTTTGATATTTTTTAAATATCGTATGAATAAATTAAATCACAAAATTTATGTGTCTTACGTCACAAAAAAATTTTTTTTTTTTTTATAAAAAAAGAAAATTGAAATTGAAACTTTAAAACACTAAAATACTAAAATAATGTAACTTTAAACAATAAAAATGTAAAAAGACAATAGTATAAAATCCTGGTTTCAAAATATGGCCAAATGCGGCCTTTAGTCATTACTAAACTAAACGTTAAAAAAAGTGATTTTACTCTTAGTAATTTTCTTTCTCCCGTTTTTTTATATTCCATCTTTGGTATACATGCTGATCTGCACAACACATTTTTTTTTGGATTATAATCTTTGTTCTTTGTTGTTTTTTATTTTTCATTTTTGCATCTAGTCCAGTTCACCTTATACCGTTTGTGTAGTACATTTTTCACGTGAATTGGTAAGGATCTTTTCTTATTTTTGTCGGAGTTTTTTCCAGAATTTTCTTTATAGGGCCACATGTTTAAATATGTCAAATAAAATAAAATTTCTATAAATATGTCTTCTATCTCTCAAAATAACCTCACTTCAAAAAAAAGTAATTAATTTGTCATAATTTCTTTTTACACTAAAAAAACCCAAAACATGGCGATTGAGAATGAACAAACAACTTTCCCAATTCTCTCACAGAATAAAGACAAATTAAAAATTATTTTGAGGGTCGGATTAATGATATTTATTGAATTCGCCCTTCCAATTGCCCTTTACTATATTCTTAGTATTTTTATACATGGAGTAAAGCCATTTCTCATATCAAGTGCCCCAGCATCTATTGCTACTATATACGGACTTATAAGGAGAAGGCGTGTCGACATTATAGGATCACTCGTATCAAACTGCCTTACTTTCGGTGCTTTGATATCAATATTTTATGGCAATCCAAAGATTCAACTATTAGAAAAATTTATGAATATGACTCTCCTTCCCTTTCATATAATAGCAATGATTAGCTTAATTCCGATAAAAATTGGTACCTTTAAATTGCGACCATTACTATTCTATATTTTTAAAGAATTGACAACAGGTGGAGCCTTTAGTTATTTAAGTCCAAAATTGATAGATGAAAGTTGGGACAGGTATTGGGTTTCTTACCAATATTTTCGACGTGGTTTCATCTTTATGACAGTGATCTGGGGATTTGGGCTTCTTTCTGAAATTTTAGTTCGTGTTATGATTATTTACAATCTTACGCCCGTCAAAATGTCACCTGAAAAAGCACTTGCTATGTCAAACATAATTCATTATATTTGGTTAGCTAAATTTGCATTATTAACTCTATTTCTCGTTAGACGGATGAAGAAACAAAAAGATAAATTAGTTGCTGATTCTGATAAACCTCCGGAATAATCTATTTTATAAATACCAAATGAGACTCATAATGCTAGAGCAGGCTCTGCTAACTCCTTTATATTTTTGCTGTCGGCATCTATTTTTTTGATAACCATATTATATTCATATCTTGTGATAGTTAGTAATATGCCAGCAGCATAAAAAATTAACTATCACGTGATCTGTGATGGGCAATTTTTTAAAATTTTTTTTTATTTTTTTTTAGCGCGTTACTGGTTTATTTAATTCTCTCTCCACTTTCTCCAGATATTTCAGATATTACTTTTATTCATATCTATAAAATACGTTTTATTAAGTTTTATTAAAAACCTATACTTAATACTATATATATTTAAAATATTAGCTGTTCTTTTTTTGTTTTTTTTTTTAAGCAGAAATCTCTCATAAATTTTTTTATAATCAGTCAAACTTTATAATCTTTTTTTCTTCTTTTTATATGGGAAATATTGCTTAAAGTACAAAATTTTGATCTATTTTATATATATTATTAGGTAATACAATTATATTGTAAAAACATCTACAAAACTATAAATAAAAAAAGTTTTTCAGATAAATAGTTATAGGCATAATATGGTTCATTATTTAATTTGGAATTTTTATTAAAATACTTGAAATTATAAATGTTTTATGATAAATATTAAAGTAAATTTTTGGTTTTTTTTTCTCTCATCAAAACATCGCGCAAACAACCTTAAAATTGAGCGCTACATCCGAATCACGTGATAGTGAATTTTTTTATGGTGACGCTGGGGTAGTTGTAATATGTGCGGACGTATGGTACGAAATCCCGAAACTCAAAATCCCGAAACTCAAAATCCCGAAATCCAAAATCCCGAAATCCAAAATCCCGAAAAATTGGCCCACATTAAGCTTTAATGCTGCCTGAAAGACGCTCTGTAAGATTTTGACCTGTCTGGATTTTGGATTTCGGGATTTGAGTTTCGGAATTTTGGCCTGTCGGGATCTTGAGTTTCGGAATTTTGGACTAGAGTTTGGAATCGATTAAGGTTAATCGATTAATTAATCGACTAAGACGGTTAATCGATTAAGGTATCTCAAAAATCGGCTAATCGATTAAAATTATCAACCCATAATTCTGGTCAAATTATCTAATGCGGCCCAGAGCTGTGAATTTTTGGTCACGTGTTCTCCGAACTTGGAAGAATTTGTATTAATTTTTTAATGATAATAATAATAAATATAACTAAATGTATGATCAAAAACAATTTGGTGCAATCTGCGGTCAAAAAAAAAAAAAAATTTTTAATATTTTAATATTAATCGATTATTAATCGATTAGGGCCCTTGGTTAATCGATTATTAATCGATTAAGGTTTTTTTGGTCGGTTCCAACTTCTATTTTGGACGACACCTTGTGAGAATATGGCGGAAAATCTTTTTGTTTTAATGAAACTTTTTTAACGGTTTAATTTTACTTTTTTAGACGGCTGGGTCTCTGGACACGTGAAATTTTAGTGAGAATCTGTTTCTTTTATTATTTAATTAGAATTGGAATGTTTATAATAATTATATTTACTTTCTTTTATAGATTTCAAGTCTGGGACGTGTTGGAAATGCCAGGTGGCAAAATGTATTTTTTTTCTTTTGTAGATTCCAGCTTCGATAGCACTTTGTATAATAAGTTTCAAAATTGACTTGACTACGAAACTTATTTTTTTTACTTTTTTTTTTGTTTTTACTTCAAATCACCGAGGGTGATCATCACCGTTGGCCAGAATTATCAATTTTTACCGGCACTATATTTTTTTAATGCTGGTTGATTGTCATAATTTCAGTCACCGGTCACCCCCGGTGATAGTTAGAAAAATTCTTTTATTAGAAAAGTTTTTAACGTTTCTTTTATCTTCACTTTCATAGATCCCAGAGGGTTTCGAATTTATACCCGGAATTGAATGGTAAGTTTACACAAAGAAACGTTAAACGTTTCTAATTAAAAAAATGCAAAAAAGACGGTAACGTTTTTTATTTTTTTATAGGTTTAGTTCTGGCTTCTTTGAATCTCCTTGTTTGTATATTTTTTGACCTATAAAAAATTTTTCAGAAAATGATCACGTGCCTGAGTTTCTTCGGAATAAAAACTAGAAAAATGATCATTTATCGGAGTTTTTCCCAGAATTTTTTTTATAGGGTGAACGTTAGAACTTGAGGAGGTAATATTTTTTTTTTGAATTTTTTTTTTAGCAAAATGTCAATTAACGCAATGCTAATGTTTAGTTCTTTTTCTTTTTAGATGAGTCCAGACACGTGGATTTGATGAACAATGAGAAGTGTGGGATTATTCAGAATTTGTAGTTTTTATTGTATAATGATAATATATTTTAATGCCATAAAAATACTTTAATAATGCTAAAACAATGCTTTGATAGTGCTAAGAAAAATTCATAAATATAGTACAGTTACCACAGTTACCATGCATAATCATGTTTTTACAATGCGTCGTATAATGATAAATAACAACATGGTTAAACAACGTGATAATAATGCAGTTTTTTGCATTGTTTAATTTTTTGATATTTTAGCAAAGTTATTAATTCCGGAAATATGACGGAGCCTTTTACGGAAAAAGATGGAATATATAAAACGGATAGACTTTTTACGGGTAGCATCTTGTTGGGATCTATGCTTTTGTTTTCTCTTCTTGTGTTTTAGGATAGATGTTCTAAAGTAAGCGAAGCTGAAGTGCCGATATAAATGAGATTATACTTAATATGGTTCGAAATGTCATACATGACCACTAAGCAATAAGTTTGTCTTGGTAAGTAGACAGTAATTGTTCCAAATTGCTGAAGTACTCCTGGACAGACAGTTGATTATATTTGATCAGCAATCCAATCACGTGATACCGATCATATATAAAATGAAATAGAGGATAAAAAAGGAATAAAAAAGGTGAACGGCCGGTACTGCGACTTTGTCTATCATATCATTCTAATTATTGAAACTTTAAATTTTTAACAAATTCGGAGAGATTTTCAAAAAAATTTATACTGTTAAACCATGTATACTATTAAACTATTTTATGCTATCTACTTAGACTATTTATACTCTACGGCGTCATTGGCCACAGTAAAAGTTACGACATTAATAACATTAACGGCACATTGGGTTCACACTGTTTTGCTGTAACTGTGGTCACAATCCGCTATATGCCGGCCAATTCATTGGGACAGTTCCAACTGTATCACCTCCGTTTAGGAGTTGAATTAATTGAATGTTGCTAAAGTCTCTGGATAGATTTTTCATTTAATAAAGGTTTATTATATTAGTAATACTTTATACAATTGATTTTATTTTCATTAATTTCGATAAATTTAGTCATTATTGGCATGTTTCAGAAATTTCGGAAGGTTTAAAAATTTGGCAATCTGGCAAAATTCGGTTTCGCCCGCAACACTAGCAACAAATACAGCAGTATATGTTTTTTTGAAAAATGTGTTCAGATAGTATCTTATACGGATAGTTCAACAAAAAACTTTTCAGAATCTACTATCTGAATTCTGAAAGAGTAACATTTATTTTACGTTTATTTGTAGACAAATAAATTTTCAGAATCTTTTTTTCATAAAAGAATAATTTATTTTGATAGATTAGGACAAAGAAAACATTGCAAATTAATTATCAATTCTTTTCTTAATACTAATCTATATAAATATATTTTTTGTATATAAATTAGTTCACGAGAATTACCATCACAATTTCTGATATTTTGGTGCAATTATTTTAATATTTTCTTTTTTTAAAAAAATATCACTGGCGGTGGCGGTTACCATACTACCAGTGTCTTGTAAAAAGTCGATCCGTTTTTTATATTCCGTCTTTTTTCCGTAAAAGGCTCATATTTCCGGAATTAATAACCTTATATCACGGAATCTATCGAATTATTTACATTTTCTGTGAATAGTGCTCCTAACGGAACGGGTCGACTCGGGTCATGTGACCCGACCCGACTTAAGAGCTCGGGTCGGGTTCAATAATTTTTATGACCCGGTGACCCGCATGACCCGACCCGGCTGACCCGAGTTATCGAACAAATACTAGTTAATTATAATAAATGAATGATAACAAAGCTTCATAATATTACAAATCTATTAAATCCATTATAATTTCATTAAGGTCTCATTATAATACCGAAAAAATGGTGGTCGCTCATTTTTTTTCCTTTGAAAATTCGGGTTTAGACCCGGGATATCCGGTTGAGGGTGGGGTTTAGAGTCAAGACCTTTTCACTTTGGTCGGGTCGGGTATATCTTCAAAACCCGACCCGACTTGACCCGTTAGGAGCACTATCCGTGAATGGATCCGTGAAAGGCTTCATTTTTACGGAGTTTTTACAGAAATAACGGATAAAATTTTTTATAGGGGTGGTGAATTTATGATGTAATGCAGGCCAGTGTTTTGTTAGGACAATCACCACTGGTGGGCTTTAGCAATTTTCAAGAAAATTGTTATAAATTGGGAATTTTAAATTTTATTAAATCATAAATCGATTTTATTTGTGAAAAATTATTTGCTCAATTACAAACTGATTTAATTTATGTAAATTAAAAGAAATTTTACATATACTCTATAATCAGTGTTGAACAAATCAATATATAATATAGATTTCATCATTCATATTAAAGAACATAAATTTCTTTGACAAATTTGACAAACCTAATTTTAACCCATTTCTTTTTTTAAATGCAATTACTAATATAATAAATAGAATTGTAATATTATATTTCACACTCTAAACATTCAGAATGAGGAAGACTTTTTGTAAAGGAATTAAGTAGTCGAGATGTATAAACAGCTTGTGAGTGAATTGTTGATTGTCTTCTTTCCTCTAAAAATAAGAAATTTGATTTTTTATACTCATTTGCCTTTTTGAATTGCTCTTCAATATCATAATCTTGTTGTTCTCTATAAATATTTAAACGAAATATCTCAATCAATTTATATACTTCAGTTACTTTTGGTCTATTGTCTGGATTTGTGTTCCAACACCATTTCATTAAGTCAATATAACATTTCGGTGCTTCTTGATCATTTATATAAGGTCTAATTCCATTACAGATATCTAATGCTAAACCTTCATCATGTGCATGATTGTAAAAAGGTTGTCTACCAGTTGCTATAAAATACATAATCATACCAAAGCTATATATATCTGCTGCTTGAGTATATGGATTTCCTCTTAATACTTCAGGAGCTACATAAGGCATAACTCCATAAATATTTGTTTTATCTATATTATCAGATTTCCCACATAATCCCATATCTGATATACACATTGAAACAAGAATTTCTAAATCAGCGGATATTGATAATATATTACCTGTATGAAGATCACGATGAACCATTTGATTATCATGAATTTCTTTAAGACCAGTAATAATACTCGTTAACGCTTCTATATTATACGTCCAATCAAATTTCTTATAATGCTTGTTTACTAAATTATATAAATTTCCACCTTCTGCATAATCAAGAACCATAATATAATTTTTCGTATCAGGATTTTGAGATATTCCATATATTGCAAGAATTTCTTTGTATTTTTTAATTGAATATTTTTTAACCTATTAGGACAAAGTAATTATTGTTGATATATTATTTAGAAAACTTTAAATTAAATAAAAAAATTTTCATACCTCATTTAAAAATTCTGTAGTAATATTTTGTGAATCATCTAATTGTTTTAAAATGATTTTTTTCTTATCCCTTACATACTTAGTATCACGTCCATAATAAGATAATGGTCCATCTTTCCATGTTGCTAAATATATTGTGGCAAAACCACCTCTATCTATTTCTTCAATATTACTAAAATGATTGTATGGTATCCATTCAAATATTATATCTCTTGGATGACTAATATTTAATTGCACTACTTGTATTAAATTATCAATTTTTATATTTCCACTAGTCCAATTTGTAAAATTTTCTCTTAAATCATTTATTTGACATGGTTTACACCAATTCTCATTTGTAATTGTGTATTCTTTATCACATTTTTCGCAATATTTATTTTCAGAAACTATAATATAATCTTCTGTAATAGGATCTTGAGATATTCCATAGATGGATGGGGAATATTTTTTAACTTATTAATTAATACATATTAATTATAGTATAAATTGCATTATTTAAATCAAATATATAACAGAAATTTACCTCACAAGTAATATTTTGTGAATATTTTAAAACAACTCTCGATTCTACTCGTCTTATTTGTTCCTTTTCATAAAGATATTTGTAATAATAAAGGTCATTCTTCCATATTGCTGAATATATTTTAGCAAAATTATCATCATTTATTTTTTTTATATTGTTAAATTGATTGTATGGAATCCATTCAAATAATTTGTCAGATTTGCTTTTAACTTTTAGTTGCATTTTCTGGATTAAATTATCAATATTTTCATCTCCACTGGTCCAGTTTGCAAAATCTAATTTTAAATCATTCACTTGACAATATATACACCATTCATCTATTTTATTGGCATAATTTGCATATTCTTTACCACACTTTTCACAGTATAAATTTATATATTGAGAAACAATAATACAATATTTTGTATTTTGATTTTGAGATATTCCATATATTGATAAATCGTTTTTACTAATCTACAAAATTTTTTTTTAAAAAAAATAATTAATTATTTTGCGTCAGACATTACCCAATATTATAATGCCTTAAGTGGGTTGGCCAGCATTACTAGGCCAGCCGCACGTCAGACGCAAATCGGCATCCGTCGCAAACATAGTATATATTGAAAATTTCATACCTTATTTAGGAATTTATTAGTATTTTGTAAGTAATGTAATCTTAAATAAACTTTCTTATTTGATTCTCTTGCCCATTTATTATTATGACAACTTAATGGGCCATTCTTCCATATTGCTGAATATAAATTATTTTTGTTTATTTCTTTGATGTCGTCAAACTGATGATATGGTATAAACTCAAATATTCTGTCACTAATAGAGTCGATGTTCCGTCTTTTTCGAATATAATTATCAATTTTTTCATTTCCACTAGTCCAATTTATAAAGATTTTTTTCAAATAATTCTTTTGGCATCGTTTACACCAATTACAATCTGTATCTATATCATATTTACCACATTTATTGCATATTTCATTATAATCTTCTTGAAGAATCATATTATAATCTTTCGTATATGGATTTTGAGAAATTCCAAAAATTTTACCACAATATCTGTTTAAATCTTCTATAACCTATTAAGGATATAAAAATAAATTATTATTAATTTTAAAAAAAGGTAATTAAATTAAATTAGATAAAAATAATCTCATACCACATTTAAAAATTTCTTAGTAACGTTATATAATTTTAGAGTAATTTTTGTATTCTGTTTATTTCTTATATAATTATTTTTTATTTTATTATAATTTAATGGACCATCCTTCCATATTGCTGAACATTCTTTAGTAATTTTTTCTTCGATATTATTAAACTGATTGTATGATATCCATTCAATTATTATATCATCTGGTTTATCAATTTTTAATTGCATTTCTTGAATTAAATTATCAATTTTTTCATTTCCGCTAGTCCAATTTGTAAAATTTTGTTTTAAATTACGTATTTGACATAATCTACACCACTCGTAATTTGCGTCTTTTTCACATTTATATGGTTCACCACATTTTTTACAATGTATAATTGGAAAAATAATAATATAATTTTCCGTATCTGGATTTTGTGATATTCCATATATTTTAGAATATTTATTGAATTTGATCTATTAAAATTAAAAAAAAAATTAATCAGTATGTTTCCAACTAAACGCATATCTAAGGGCCATGACATTTATTACGTAATATTTTGTAGGGTGCAAAAATCTTACGTTACACTTAAGTAATTTAATTGGCTGCACTATATCTTACGGGGTTTGCGCTAATAAAAGGATATTGCGTAATATATGTCCCGGCCATAAAGAATACATACCATATTTAAATGTTTAATGACATTTTGTGAATTATATAAATATTTTAAAGTAACCACTTTATTTGATTTTCTTGTCCATTCTCTGTCATTATAACACGATGGACCATTCTTCCATGTTGCAGAATATATTATATCAAAATCATCTTTACCTATTTCTTGGATATCACTTAGTTGATTGTATGGTATCCATTCAAATATTATATCCGATTTATAATCAATTTTTAATTGCATTTCGTGAATTATATTATCAATATTTTCATTTCCACTTCTAATCAAATTTTCTTTAAAATAATTAATTTTACATGGTTCACACCATTCTTTAATTATATTTGTATATATTTTGCCACAATTCACACAATATATATCTTGAAAAACAATAATATAATCTTCCGTATTTGGATATTGAGATATTCCATGTATTCTAAGAACTTCACCAATATAAGTTATTGAATATTTTTTATCCTGATAGAAAAAAAAAAAAATATTATTATAAATGTATGACAATTAAATTCAAAGAAGTTTTCTTATTACTACCTGCTGGTCAATAAAAAATTCATTAATGATATTTCGTAAATTATATAATTTTAAGACAACTTTTTTGTTTTGTTGTTTTCTTGTATATTCGTTTTTATTTTTATCATAATCTAATGGTCCATCTTTCCATATAGCCAAGTGTACTTTATCAGAACCTTCACCTATTTCTTTAATATCATCAAATTGATCATATGGTATCCATTCAAATATCATATCATCCAGCTCATTAATTTCTAATTGCATTTCTTGAATTAAATTATCAATTTTTTCATTTTCACTAGTCCAATTTGTAAAATTTTGTTTTAAATTATTTATTTGACATGATTTACACCATTCATATATAGCATCATATTTACTCGTGTATTTTTCTCCACATTTCTTACACTGATCGTCGTCATCTTGTGATGACATTTTACAAAATTACTAAGTTGGAAAAAAATGTTAAAGCCAATGAACTTATTTTACAAAAAAAAAAAAAAAAGGGAAATAAAAAAAAAAAGGCGAAACAAAATTCAAAATAATTGTACACGTACCGGTCGTACCGTATTTATCAAGTAAATTAAAAGGTTGTAAAATATTAAACCATTTACGTACTAAAATGGTTTCATTTTATTTATTTTTGTTAATGATCCGCAAAAAGATTTCTCTAATATCGTTCTATTTATACGAATTGTGTACATATAAACATGAATATGTTCCCACGTGATTCGTGTGGAATATGAAATTACTCATAATCGACGGTATGCATACTATAAATAAATAGTTTTCTGCTGCGGTTTAAACCACAATTTTGAACTTTGATTTCAAAATAAAATTTTAACAAACTATTTTTACACTTTTTTATTTGAAAACCAAATTATAATACCGCATATTAGAATTCTTAATTGGCAAAATATTTTATTCGTAATTTCCATGATTACTTCGTTAATTACTTAGGTTTTTGATTTATTTGTAATATCTTTAGCTAGCAGGAATCTGAACAAGAAGCATATTTAGAAAAGAAATATATATATAAGTAGAAAGTTAAATAAAAATATTACGGTCATGCCAAATAATACATTCAATACATTCGATACGAAACAATTTAAATAACTATGAATATGAAACATTATTTGAATTATTTGAATATATGAACGCAACGTATAAAATACAAATTTTATTAGAACAAAACTATTTATCACCAAATTGCATTAAGAATCATTTATTAACTTGCAAAAAATGTAAAGTACATTTAGTTCATTCATGTAATGATTTAAATATTTGAATTTAAATAATAAAATTATCATTAACAGAATTTATAATGAAAAAAAAATGAAGACACTTCTTTGAAACTGATTATGGTAACAGAATAGGTATATTAGAGATGTGAATTAACAATGTTATCTATTCCCAATCATGTTCCGTAATTCTTTTTTTACATTGGACGTGACATATTCTACTACATTTAGACTATTGCAATGAATAAAATTTCAGACAACCTACCAGGAAAAATGATATGTACCAAAGTGTTTCAGTATATTGCTATTTTGATTATGCGATGCTCTTAAAATATCGAAATTAGTATACAATACTTCAACTCTACTTAACGTTTAGTGGAACTAAATAATATTTAACGCGACCCCATAAAAAATTTGCGATTATTATTTAGGTATTTAACTCTCTTTGATCGAACATTTCTCTATTTTTTAACTCTTACATAGAACTTTTTGGTCTTTTTCGACCGTAAAAATTTTTTGGTCAAATGATCGACAAGGAAAAGTTTTTTCGTTATATATTTTTAGTGATACCATTTAATAAATAATATGATATTTTGCATAAAACAATTCTTAACCTTGTATTTCGAAAATTAAATGTATTTAGAATACTACTGTATATTTAAAGAAAAACACTATATCACACTTTTATCATTTTTATTAGAAAATTATTTAATTCCTACAAGAAAATTCTTATCACTTTCTAGTAATTTAGTAATTTAGAAATTATTTCCGCATTCCTAATAATCGCAAGGTGCGATATCATAGATATACGGGGCGACGTCGGGGCGATATGCAGGGGTTGAAAAAAAGGTGTACAAAATTTTTGGCGTATTATGCACAGTATACTAAAATAGTGTAAATGTAGTACCAGTAAATGTTGTGTAATAAAATAATACAATACAAATAACTAATTGTTTTTGATTTTAATAATACATAGAAATTTCTTCTCAAGAATGTCTTCAAATAATATTACAAATGATAATGAAAATTTCTTAAAAGCCTTTTTAAAAGGTTTTTATCGTCAAATTATAAATATAA